AAAGGTCACCTCCTCAGAGAGGGCTCCCAGTCCCAGGACCCGAGCCTGAGGTGTAGGGGCAGTGGTAAGTGATTAGCCTCGGGAAAGCTCATGGCACCCTGCCCAGCACACTGTAGGCACTCAGGAAATGGGACCACACTGGCAGCACAACCACTACATGAAACCTATGGAATTCAGCACCAGGCTCTAATGTCTTTGATATGAATCTTATGCACCATTATCATTATTGTTATGGAGAATTGCTTTCACAGGGCTGGGAACACAGCCTGAAGTTTTACATCAGCAGCATCTTTTTCTTCAAAATTTATTTATTTATTATTTATATTTGGTTGCACTGGGGCTCTGTTGCTGTGCGCAGGCGCTCTCTAGCTGCAGCAAGCAGGGGTCACTCTTCGTTGTGGTGCGCGGGCCTCTCATTGTGGTGGCTTCTCTTGTTGCGGAGCATGGGGTCTAGGCGCGCGGGCTTCAGTAGTTGTGGCACATGGGATCAGTAGTTGTGGCTCACGGGCTCTAGAGAGCAGGCTCAGTAGCTGCGGCGCATGGGCTTAGCTGCTCCTCAGCATGTGGGATCTTCCCAGACCAGGGCTTGAACCCGTGTGCCCTGCGTTGGTAGGCAGGCTCTCAACCAATGCGCCACCAGGGAAGCCCAGCATCTTTTTCTTTAACCCTTGGACAGTGAGCCCTCTTCACTCTTCCTCCCACACACCATCCAGCGCTCAGTACCGTGGACAAGGAGGGCAGAGACCCCGGCAGCCATGTGTCCCACACAAGACCTGCCTCCGTGTCCTCAGCTGCAAAGAGGGTTCCTGGTTCAGGGCTGTGCACAGAGGCAGGGTGGGCTGGGTCCAGAGGGGAAAGTGTGGTTGGGGGAAAGTGGGGGTTGAAGGTCTCTGTGCAGCCTGGGAAAGAGGGAGAGCCCCATGATGGAAGGGAGAGTCGGGCAAGGGGATGGCCCAGCCTGCTGCCCTGCCCAACATTCCACCGCGTGCCCTGTGCTCAGCCCCTCGCTCCAGCCATCTTCAAAGACGGCACCTCACTTTGTACCCATCTCAGGGCCTTTGAACGGTAGCAATTGTGCAGTTTCTCTCTACTCTGGCACAGCTCTTCCTCCTGGGCCTTGGGGAGCTGCCCTCCTGGCCGCTGTCTGCAGGATGGTGTCTCTCATAAGCTCAAGGGCTCTGTAACTGTCCTGCCAGCTCCACTAACTGTGAGACTCTGTGCCTCAGTTTCCTCCTTGATAGGATAGAGACAGTTGTAGGACCTTCCTCAGAGGGCAGTTGTGAGGCGTGAATGCGCTAATACAGGCCAGATACTTAAACAGGTCCCGGCACACTCAGCCCTTAAACAGCTCAGGACCAAGCTGATCTGATTATTATCATCTCCTTCCCAATGCTCACAGTATGCTGTTAACTTTACTTCTCTTTGCCCATTGCTGTCCCTTCGGCAGTTAGCCCCAGGGTCTTGCCCACAGGACAACACGTGCTAAATGAACTGCTAGTCGATTGAAGGACTGTTCGTTCATGGCCCTCCCCTGCCCCCTGGTGGTCACTCTCAGTATTTCCCCAAGGCACCAAGTGGGACTCTTTCCTGCAGGTTTGGGGACTGGCTCTGGGTCTGTCCAAGGCTCTGAGCACCCAGGCAGGACCATGCAAAGCAGACTGGGCTGCCGGCGGGGCTAAGCTCCCCACCTGCACAGAGACGATGGGAACACGTGCCTGATGGGCACAAGGGGTAGAGGGCGAGACCTGGGGGAGGGGGAGCCTTTGAGGGGAGAGGGAGCCTTAGGAGGAGGGGGATCCTAGGGGAATGTGAGCCAGGGAGAGAGTAAACCCCTTGCCCTCAGCCTACCCTGCAGAGGCTGCTCTCCCGGAGAGTCCACTGCACCTGCTTGCTAACCTGCAGGGGCTCCCCAGAGCCTGCCACATTCCCCACTGTGTGGACACCCTCCACCTGCTCTGAGCCAGCTCCAGCCCTATCTCCAACCATCTGACCACCCTGAGGTCTGGTCACTTGCCCTGGGGCCTTTGCTTGTGTTGCTGAAGACATTTTCATCTCATGCGCTGCTCCAGGGAAGCTTCCAGACCCCCTTCATTCACCTGGAGTGTAACACAACACCATGGGTGTGTCTCATCACAGCCTGTCCTATTGTACAAGTGAGCAGGCGGCAGTGTGGGTCCCAGGCAAAGCCCAGGCTTCCCAAGAGGAGCAGGGGAACAGGTGCCCCCTCTGAGCTTGAAGTCTTCCTTGGCAAAATCGGCCCCGATGAAGCCTCTGGAAGGTTCTCAGCACCGAGCCTGGAACACAGTAGGTGCTCGGGAAATGACTAAAATTCAGCTAAAATTTGGAAGCCGACTTAAGGGGCAATTTGTTTATTTATGCCATGTTCAGTACACAGGACACAGCCGCATGTGAGTCTCAGTCAGACAGAGCTAGGCAGCCTGCAGTAAAAAAACAGCTCCCAACATCTCAGAGGCCTAACGTGCAACCCTTCATGTTTCCTCTTGCGAAGTTTGTTGCTGGTCAGGTGGCTCTCCAGGACCCTGTTGCTGGCATCCTGCGGCCCCCAGGAGCTGCCTCAACACGATGGTGGTGTTCCACTTACACCTGTTGCCAGGAGGCTGAGAAATTATGGTGAGCAGGGGACAATCCTGGAGCACTCAAGTCTCATCCATGGAGGGCTTCAGTGTGGGCCTCAGTTTATCTACCTGTCAAATGAGGGGCTGGGTCCATGGGGCCACGCAGGGAGTTTGCTCAGCCCCTCCCCTCCAAGTTCACTGTCGCAGGGCTGTTGGCCCTGCATGGAGATGGGGAGAAGACCCTGGAAGGGCCACAGTCAGCACCAAGCACAGAGCGACACAGGCTCCTTGCTGCCCATGCTGCAGGCACACCCAGAAATGCATGCCTCTAGTCCACCTACAGACATTCCCGAACACAAGGGCAGCTGGGGCCACAGTGACGGCCCAGGGCACGACCAGGCCATGCTGCACCAGGATGGTGTGGGTGCAGCCCAGGATAGGGCCTAGGGCCAGGGAAGAGGCTCTGGGTACCTTCTGGGAGGTCTTTCCCAAGCCTAGGGCCCCAGGTCCCAGATGGCCCTCTGAAGACCCAGTCCCTACAGCCATGCTGGGGTGGGAAGACCCAAGGAGCACCCAGATAGCTCAGCCTCAAGGACTCCAGCTCAGAGGCTGGGCAGCCAGAGCCAGGCCTCGGGAGGGTGGGCTGTACAGAACAGCCCAGGGCTTGGCACGGTGCCCCAGCGGCTGTGGGGTGAGGGGGCGGGGACCCCTGGGGAAGCCACAGGGCAGGATCTGGCTGGATCCGGGCAGGGACAGGACAGCTGCCAGGAAGGGTGAATGCCCAACCATGGGGTTTGCAAAGGCCCCTCTTGCGGGGTCCAGCGGAGCAAATTCAGGCTGTGGAGCTGCCTTGGCTGAACACTGCATACCAGGGCCCAGCAATGTCTGAAATGCCTGGCAGCTGGGGCAGCCCCAGCGTGTGCCTAGGGTCTCCTCTGTGGCAGTCCCCTTTGGCCAGTTGGTCCTTTTTTCTCCCTAATCCTCGATCCTCACTGTGCCCTACACTGTTCATCTGTGTATGTGGGGGAGGGGAGGGGTCTGCTTTTGTTCATTTGTTGTGAGTAACATCAGCTTTTTTGGGGGGGCTGCATTGGGTCTTCGTTGCTGCGTGTGGGCTTTCTCTAGTTGTGGTGAGCAGGGTCTACTCTTCGTTGCGGTTCGCGGGTTTCTCATTGGGTGGTTTCTCTTGTTGTGGAGCACGGGCTCTAGGCGTTCGGGCTTCAGTAGTTGCAGCACATGGGCTCTAGGGCACGCAGGCTTCAGTAGCTGTGGCACGCAGGCTCAGTAGTTGTGGCTCGTGGGCTCTAGAGCACAGACTCAGTAGTTGTGGCGCACGGGCTTAGTTGCTCCACACCATGTGGGATCTTCCCGGACCAGGGATTGAAACCATGTCCCCTGCATTGGCAGGTGGATTCTTAACCACTGCGCCATCACGAAAGTCCCTAACATCAGCTTTAGACTGAAATTCTGCACATGTTCTCGGGTGCCTCTCACCGGACTCAACTAAACTGCACACCTGTGAACACTAAGAAGGTACTAGAGGCTCCTGAGGATGCTAGGGGCTGGGGCTGGTACTGTCAGGGTCTCAAAGGCTGCCCACTCTGACCAAGGGTCTCTTCTGCCTACTCCTGCAGGCTGGCTCAGGGTGCTGCAGCTTTGGGGTGCAGGGCAGTACATATGCCCTGTGGGCAATCCAAAGGCTTTCCAAGGGGAAAGTTGGCAGCCAGGGCTGGGCCTGGGTAGGGGGCCTGGCCTGACTGCCCACCCTCACACCCAGCCCACTCACTGGCCCACTCCTCTCCCCAACGTCGAGGATCCCCACCGTCCTCACCACCAGAGTGGATGACAGTGAACAAGGCAGAAATGACACAGACATGGTTCTGTACAAAACCTGAAATATTTTTACTCTTTTAAAACTTTGATCTAAGTTACCTTAGACCTCATGGACTCGATACAAGAGTAATATGAATTGGGAAATAAAACACTTTAATAGCCACAATAAACTTTGTTAGAAATGTACATGTTGCCAAAATAATAATAATAAAATTAAAAAAATAAAAGAGAGAGAGAGAGGAAGAGAGAGAACAGCTTGATGGCCGGGTTAGATTATATAAATGTTCAACAAGGACAGGAAAGGAAACCTTCAAAACGCCGGGTCGGAATAGTCAGGGCCCCATGAGGCTCACCCCTCCCAGCCTCTGGGTCCCGGGGCTGCATCCCCCAAACAGGATGAGCAAGGGTGGCAAGGCCCACGCAAAGCTGCCTCTCCTCATGGACAGAACACCCAGGGATGGGCATATAAACAAAGCTCATAAGAAATGTACAAATATAAAAAGCTACAAACATTAATAAATTACAGCATCACAAAACACAGAAACACTTCACAAGGTGCTAGTAAAATAACTGTACCCCCACCCCCTTCATCAACAAGAAGGAAAGAAAGAGCTGGTATTCAAGTTGAAGATTCCTCTTCAAATGTGTCTGAAATAGATCTTTTGTGTACTGTTTGCTTCTGTAAAGACAGATATAAGGCTGCAAAGACATCACTTGTTTTTCAGGCAATACCTTAGTTCCTAAAAGAAAAAATAATAATAATAACCATAATAATACAAAGAAAGAAGGAAAAGGAAGAGCATCGGAAACCCAACTGTTCATCATACTCGGCAAAAAACTCGTATAAATGTTAATGAAGGACTCTATAGAAAGAAATTCCTAAAGATACTTTTACTCTTATAAAAAAGAAGTTATTTAAAAAGCTATTTACACGCTACATTCTATGAAAAATATGCTTCAGGAAATACATCTAAAATTAAAATACAGGATTGCCTGAGAAACAAATCCAGCCCCTCCGTGTCGATGGGCAGACACGTGGTCCAGGAGCCACCCATGCACTCGACACCAAACGTTAACAGGTGACAAGACAGAAGTGCCTGGCCCCCAAGTCCTCGGGCCACCCGGCCACCATCTGCCCCACCAGGCATATGGCAGGGTGCCTTGGCTGGGAAGTGCTTCTCGGAGTATAGATGGTCAGGCTGGACGGGGACCACCCATGTGGCTTAGCCTGGGCCCCCTGGGCCCCACACTGTGTCTGGGCCTGAACCCTTCCCTGGGGACCCCATGATGGCTTCCCCCCCCAACACTGACACACTGACCCTGCTGATGGCCCCAGCCAGCCCTGAGAAATGCCCCAGGCATTCAGGGTGCAACACCCACCATCCGGCCCACCACCCACCAGCCGGGGAGCACAGAGGCTCCTCTCCTGGCTGGGCCCAACAGTCTCTGGACTTGTCTGAGAATCACTTGGGAAGAGAAGGGGGGCACATACACACCCCGATCTCTCCTCCTCTTCCTCTCTAGTGTTCTTTGCCTTTTTTAAAGCCTCTGGAGGCTACCAGCCTGTGGCCAGCTCAGACTCTGGGCCTGGTGAGCATTGGCTCACTCCTCCTTCCTTGAAGGACTCATGCTCCCAGCAGAGCTGCAAAGGCCCTGCAATCACACCCATGCTCGGGGATGCCTGGAGGCTGTCCTGAAACTGGAATGGTCCTCAAACTGGCAGGGCCACGTTTCGGGAACTGGTCACTCTAAGCAACTTGAGAAAGGACGTCTGTCCGTATTGGCGAGCTCCGCCCGCTGAAGCAACAGATGCTCATGTGAGGGGGGTGGTTGCCGGGAAGAGGCCAGGCCCTCCCTGGGGTGAGGCAGCAAGGCCACCCTCCTGGGGGCTGATGTTTTAGCAGGGCTCCAAGGGTCCTGAGCGGAGCAGAAGGATCCTGGCTTTCCAAACTTTAAAGGAGCAGTTTTCCATTCCGATGAATTTTCAAAATTTTCCCAAGCCTCTGTTTGGCAGTGGCCATGCCCTTTTTTGTACGCTTTCCTGGGGGAGGCAGAGACACAAAAAGGACAGATGAGTGACAGGAGCAGCATGTGGGATGGGGGTCTGTAACCCTCCTGAGCCCCCACCCTGTCTGTAAAATGGGCCTGCAATTCCCAGGTCCAGGGAGTTCTGCATCCCTCCAAAACCACCAATTGTCAACAAAGCGCCCCACTCAGAGGCTATGTCGACAAGGCGTTGGGCCATGGTGAGTAGGGTAGGCACAGGCCAGGGATGGCATTAGGGCCACCTAGAGCCACACTCCCCATGTCCATGGACGGCTGGGCCTCACGCCCATGGTGCAAGGGGTCTGGGGGGTGACAGTGGGGAATGCCACGAGACCCGGCCAGCCGTCCCACCCCTAATTCACACAGAGGAGCCTGGGTCACCTTAGGCTCCTCCCAGTGAATCCTCGGCAAACCACCAACCACACTCTGACTTCAAGCCAGGCCCCAAAGCCGAGGCCCTGGGAGTCTGAAGGGCCAGACCTAACTCCAAGGTAACCAGAGCCCCCCTGGTGAGTAACCAGAGCTCTTGGTCTTGAAAGGGACCATTTGTTTCACATACTGACTGAGTGCCTGGCCATACACACACATGGCTGCAGGGACAAAGGAGACCTGTGGTCATCCACAGGGATAGTCTGCAAGTCTAGGTGACTCAGGGTCGGCGGGCAAGGTACCTTTGGCAGCGGTGTTGTTGGGGGATGACGAGGAGGGCCTCCTCGTGGTGAGGAAGACCCCAGGGGCCATGGGCTGAGAGGCACGGCCGGCTTGGGCCCCAGCAAAGGCGCCGGCTGCCGTGTACTCGTGGTCAACCAGGCTGCTGCTGTGGGACTCTGGTGGGGGCTCAGGTGAGCTGCCCTCCTGTGAGGCCTGGCTGCTGGCCGTGCTGGTGGAGGCCGGGGTGGTGGAGGCCGGGGTGGTAGAGGCCGAGGTGGTGGAGGCCGAGGTGGTGGAGGCCGAGGTGGTGGAGGCCGAGGTGGTGCCGGCAGAGGCAGAGGCGGAAGGGGAGGTGGTGTTGGGAGCCAGCTTCCTTTTGGTGTTCTTTTTCTTTTTGCTTTTCTGCTCCTCCTTTGAACAAAACATGCAGGTGTGTCACCCCACAGGGCTGGCCAGGCTTCGGACACTGGGAAGCAGCCTGCAGCCTGGGAGCAGCCTGGTCTGCTGTGCACAAGGCTTCTCCCATGGAGCTGAGCGAGCCAGCACTGCAGGAGCAGAAAGGGCTGGATCATGCCCGAGCCCCACCTCCAGCCACCACGAGCTCTGCAGAGCAGTACTGGGGCCTGTGGAGAGACCACCAGGCCCCCCTCTGTGAGGTGGGCCGTCCTGGACACAGGGACGTGCGGGATGTGGCACCAGCACTCAGCTGTAGTGGACAGACTCAATCTGAGTTTACCTACTGGTGGACACGTAGTATGGGCCCCCGCCCCCATCACCCTAACCCCCTCCATTCCCCACCACCCCACTCTGAGCTGCCATGAGACTCCTGCCACCAGTTCCCAGCTTCTCTGCTTCCCACTAGCAGGGACTTGGGAGCCTAGAGGAACCGGGGTCGGCAATACTCAAATGTCCCCAAGGCTGTGACAGCCCCAGACTGGGTGGTCTCCGTACATGAGGGTGGGGGGAGCAGAGGCATCTGGGGAGCCTGAGCCCAGGAGGGGGCCCCCTCCTCACCTGCTGGGACAGTTTGGCTGCGGCAGCTGCCAGCCCGGTCTCAATGGAGGCCACTCTGGTCCCCTCGCGCACAGGCCTGTCCTGCCTTGGCACCGACGGGCCGACCCTCGCTGCGGGAGAGAAGGTCAGCCTGCCTCGAGCAGCCACCCACTGCCTGTGCGCCCTCCTGGGATCCCCCGGCCCTGCCCCAGTTTGTCCCCAAATCCCAGGGACAAGTCACAACTCAGGGAGTGTCAGCTTGGGCCCCAACCTGGTGTGGGGCTGGTTCCCCTACACCAGCAAGACAGGAGAGGTCAGGAGGGAAGTCACGTGCTAGGTGAGCCAGACCCCACCCCACTGGCTGCCATGATGGGGGGCCAGGTGCAATCGTGACCCTCCCAGGGCTGTTCATTGAGGAGAAACTAGGCAGAGGGCCACCTCAAGACAGGGACACCGCACTGCCCTACTGGCAGGAGCTGGGATGCCTTTGGGTGAGCTTGCAAAAGCACCTGGGCTGAGGTCCCGGGAGAAAGAAGTGGAACCCCAGTCAGGCTCCCGCAGGCAAGTGACGCCCCGTCTGAGCCCCCGCACAGAGCTAGTGGGTGTGGAACACGGCTGCTGGCCTTCGTGTGTGGATGGAGCTCCCCTTCCAGCCCCCAGCACTACCTGTCGGGCTGTAGGGAGCATCATCCGAGCCTTTCCTCTTCTTGGAACGGGACTTGAAAACAGGACTGTCCTCATCCGACTCCAGGGAGGGGTAAACTAGAGCGGCAAAGGGGAGAAGGGCTGGGCTGCTGGTGTGGCCACAGGAGGGTGGCTGCTGCAGGCTACTGGCAGAGCTTATGACCGGCATCCCCCAGGCTGTCCCCAGGCTGCAGAGCACCAGCCCTCCTGGTGTGGCTGCCACACGCACAGGCACAGGTGGCCTCTGAAATTGTCAAGCCCAGGCCCCCTTGAGGTCCAGAGAGGGCCAGACAAGGGGCTCCATCCAGCCCCCATGGCCAGCTGTTCCTACCCCAGCCTGGCCACCACACCCACTTGAATGCCCAATTCTCAAAACGTCTCCTCTGCTGCTATCAGAGAAGAAAACATCTGATGTCCATGGAACTGAGTGGCTCTGAAGGACCCCAGGCTAACCTCAGCAAGTCTCTGGAGGAGGGAGACCCACACGGCAGCCCTGGGTGACTCACTGGGTACCTCCTCCCATTACAGGTTCAACCTCCAAGGCTTGTGACACCCAAACCCAGAAAATGGTGCCCAGAAAATGGAGTTCACTCCGCTGTTGATCTGTCAGACCACGGCAGGCCCCTCAGTGAGGCCTGAAAGTGTCCACCAGATAGGGCAGGTCCAGCCTCACCACGGGAGGGCTCTCCAGGGACAGGGTCTCCAGGACAAATACACTGCCCTCAGACCATCAGGACTGAACTGAAAACAGGCCCTGCACCACGGGGGCCAGCAAGGCCCTGACCCTGAGGAGCACAGCGCACCCTGCGGGGGCTGGGACATCTATGGGCAATGGGCTGAGGCATGGAGGCAGGTCTTCACTCCAAGTCCCCTCCCAGGCGGCCAACAGCAGCTCCTTCAGAGCCCGTTGGAACCCAAAGCGCCAGGCCTGGAAGGAAGGGCTGTAGTGGGAGGCGAGGGGCCATGCCCCTGGGCAGAGGCCACAGCTGTGGCCCAGCCACCAACTCACTGCCCACCTCAGACTCAGGGCCACAAAGCCACTCTGGGCCTCGGTTTCTCTGTCTACACAGACATAGGATGGACACGGTCTCAACGTGTCTGAAATGGTATAGCCACGTGGAGAATAGTCGGGCAGGTTCTCAGAAGGCGAAACAGGCAGCGACCCAGGTATACACCACAGGAGCACCATAGACACAGGCCATACAAAACTCCCTGCACACCAACATTCACAGCAGCACTGTTCACAACTGCCAAAAGGTGGAAGCCATCCAAGTGCCTGTGGATGGATAAAGGGATAAACAAACGTGGTGTGTCCACGTGGTGGAATATTATTCAGCCATCAAAAGGAACAAAGAGCTGACATGTGCTACATCATGGATGAAGCCTGAAGAGTATGCTAATGAAAGAAGACAGGCACCAAAGACCAAGCGCTGTGCAATTCTGTTCACGTGACACACCCTGATTAAGAATACCTGCGAGGCAGCATAAATCAGTGGTTGCCAGGGGCCAGAGGAGACGTACTGACTCTTAACAGGTACAGCGCAGGGTTTCCTTTCTGGATGATGAAACGTTCTCAAATTGGGTGTGATGATGGTGGCATGCACATCCCTCCAAATACACTAAGCACCACTGAGTTACACGCTTTCAAAGGGTGACTTTTAAGGTCTGTGAATCATATCCATAAGAGGGCCCGGCTCCCAACCCCCAGGTCTAGCACCCCTCCCCGCACAGCGGCGCTCACCGTAGTCCGAGTCCTTGAAGCAGGCGTCCAGGTGGTCCTGCTCCTCCTCGTAATCATCCAGGTCCACACTGTTCTTGGCCGCCCTCTTCAGCAGCCGCTTGCCTGCGCTCTTACTGCCAGCCCCGTTCTTCCGGGTGCCATGGGCCGCCAGCGAGCTGCCCTTGGCCTGGCCAGCACCCCATGTGGTCTGCAGGCAGGAGTCGGAGGCCTGCAGGTTGGCCATGGACAGCATTCCCTGAATGGCTTCCTGTGTGCTGGGGGAGGCGGGGGGCTGGCTGGAGGCACAGAGAGACAGGCACTCAGCCCATGGCCCACACATCCTCCCACTCAGCAGCCAGCAGAGGGTGTGGGGTGGAGGACAGTGGTAGCTGATAACTCCCCCATGGAAAGAGCCAGCTATCCCCTTCCCCTACCCTCTGTTCCCACCCCCCAACACCAAAGGAGGGCTGGAGGCCTTGGGACAGAGAGGGGCATAAAGAGAGAAGAGAGGGAGGGGATGAAGAGGGGCAGAGGGATAGAAGGTGGTAGACAAAGGTGCCATTACTCCTGATCTCTCCTACCGAAAAGTCAACAAGCAGATTTCCCCAGGGACCCAGGCCACGCTCCTCCCTCCCTCTTCCACTCCAGCTGGTTTTGTGCCCACCTCCACCCGCCGTGGACTCCTGCACTCAGCCCCAGCCCCAAGCGCTCCCTCCCCCATGTCTTCAAGGGCATCCTCCCATCTGGTACCTGAGATGGGGCAGCACAGCCCTCTCCCTCCCATGGCACTCGATCTCCCCAGGTGACTCACACCATCTTTTCATGACTGCACCTGCACCAGCACCCAGACCCTCACCCTTGCCCATCACCCCAGGCTTTTGTCCACCTGGGTCAGGATGGCCCACCCCGGCCTCTGGGGAGCCTGGCCATACCTCTCATTGCTCCCTGGGACCCTAGGAATCAGGACCTGGAGTGGGGCACTGCTTAGCCCTCCTCCCTGGTTACAGACCCAGGAGGCCCAGGAGCCCCAGAAGCGGGCCCGCCCTGTGTGTCTGACATCCAGGCCCCTTCCTGCCTGCCCCATGTGCCCCCAGGGGATGGACCCACCTGCAGGGCTGCCAGACCCAGAAGCAGCCCCCAAAAGTGCCAGTCCACATGGGCCCCTGGTGGTTCTGCATGGTCCCTGCTCCCTCCTCCACTTCCGAGAAGTATTTGAAGCATGTTTAGTAAGACATTAGAACAAGAAGGAGTCCCTGCTCAGAAATAAGGTTCCCAAGATTGAGGCTGGAGGGTGCAGGGAGATGGAGCTGGCCCCAGGAAGCACAGACACAGAGGGTGGTCCCCTGTGGTCCTGGGGGCCCACCGAGGCAAGCTTGGACAAAAGCCATCCTGTGAGGGGTACCGCTGGGCTCCAGGCCAAGGACTCTGCCCCAAGCCAGGAGGAGGCGACGGGCAGGAGCCTCTCTGGGCAGCGCTGCACGAATACCACTTCCCCAAGCCCTGTCCGAGACACACTGGACCACAGTGTTTTGGGGTTTTGCTGGAAGCAAATGGATTACGGCTCCAAAGGCACAAACAATGGGAAAAATCAAGTATGGTCAGACCGCCATGGAGAGTCGGGAGCCTTCCACCAGACTCTCCACCTGCCCCAGCATACCCCCGACCCCCACTGTCCCACGCCATGACGGCAAAGGGCTACCCAGACCCAGCCAAGAGCACACGGCATTTGGTAGCGGTAATATCATTGTTGTACCATCATCGCTGATGCTTTCTGAGCAGGGACAGGCCCCCGACCCAGCACTAGAGCCAGCAAGAGCTGATAGCTGGCCCCCCATCCTCTGCCAGGCTCTCCAGTGCTCTACGAATGAGGCCCTTCCAGGCTCACCCTGAAGGTCTCAGGCACCCTCACCCAGCCTCATGGCCCAGACAAACACCTGGCTTCCTGCAGGGATGGGAGGGTGGGGGCCGGGACACTCACCATGAGGGTCCTCCGGGAGCCAACATGGAAGCCAGCCGCCTGCCTGTGCCATCTGGACCTCATGGTCCCAGCCCAGCTCGGCTGCAACCTGAGAGGGAGGGGCCTTGGAGCCCAGGGCTGCAGGCTGTCCACATGGGCCGGCGAATCAAGGAGCAAAGTCTAACTAGTGCGCATGGAAAATAATACCTTAATCCTCCAATTATCATACCAAAATCCTCTCTTTCCCTCACCCCCAGGCAGTAAACACTAAGCAAACCATCCACAAGAAATTAACATATTTTCCTCCATTTTCTTCAGCTGGCTTTTTCCAAACAGCAAATACTTAAAACAGAGCAAATGGACCATCAAACACTGACCTACACTCCAAATGGGAGACCTGGGAAAGGAACTGCCTGCGGCGGCCGAGGAAACCCAGCCCCAGCAGGCACACATGCACGTGTGCAGGCGTGTGTGAGCACATACGTGTGTGCCTACGGAGCAGTTCACAGCGCATCCTCAAACTGGCTGCCCTCCTCCCGGCAGGCTGTGTCCAGGTTCAGTCAGGAGCCCAAGCTGCAGCACCCGTGTCCCAGCTCCATGCAGAGTTCTGGCATCAGCCCCATCTGCCCTCATCCCAGGGGTGCCTCTCCCTGGAACTCATGGGGGACCCAGGGTGTGTAGGGCACTTCTCCAGGGTCTGAGCATCAACCGGTCACTGAGGTGCCAGCTAACCATAGCCTTCCCAGAAGAAAGGCACCTCCAAAGAGGTGAGGGGCCAGCCCGGGCACCAGCACCTTCCAGGAAAAGGGGGTTCACAGCCAGGCTTCTCCTCCTGGCAAAGGGCCTCAGGTCAGGGTCCCTCCCACCACTGCAAAGGCCACAGGGCATCTCTGCAGTGAGGGGCTTAGGTTTGCTCATCTACAGAAACCACTTAATGCTGAACAGGAAATCTGCACCCCACAGCTCTGTAGAAGCCTCCAGCCATACACTCCACTCCCAAGAGAGAAGGCGCCTATGGCTGTCTGTGAGCATAACGCTGCACAAATAATGGTAATTTATGAAAGAAAATACAGCCATTTGATTTAGCAAGAATGCTTTTCAATCAAGCCCTAATCCACCTCCCGGAGTCCCACTGTCTAAGACGGGGGCTGACATGCTGCCTCCACAGGCTCATGTAGCCCCTGGACCTCGATTCTGGAAGCACAGACTGAGAGGCAGAGGGGGATGGGTGGAGCGCAGATCTGGAGGACCAAGCGAACCCCGAGCAGGTCACATGAGCCCTGACTTCCTCAAGCCAAGTCCCTCCTGGCTGGATGTCACCGCCCAGCATGGTTAACATTCCAGGACCCCCACGCTTGGGTTCCATTATCAGCAGATGGAGATTCTGGCCCTGCCTCTGCCACTTCCTGGCGGTGCGGCCTTGAGCAAGTCACCTAAGCTCTCTGAGCCTCAGTTTCCCCATCAGTGCAGCAGGACTCTCCTGCTGGCTCGAGGACTAGGAGGGGAGCCACCCCCCACCATGGTGGCTGAGGTCCCCAGAATGGGGAGGCTACAGGGGGCGTGGGCCCTGATCCCTTGGTTGTCTGTCTGTGGTACTTGTAGAAATTCCATGTGAAAAAAAAAAAAAAATGGCCATGATGCATAAAAACAAAAGTTCATTGGGATCAAAAGAGAATTTAACTGGGACCACCATGAGAAAAACAAGCCCGGTGGCCTTCCACCAATGCAAAACCCAAAGAGGATTAATCCATTTCTCTCAAATCAAAGGATTGCAATTGGGCAGGCCTAGGTAGAGAAGACCGCCTGAGCTGAGCAGACACATGTCCTGGCCTGCCCGACCGCCCAGAATCTCAGGTCCTCCGGGAAAGAACAGCATATACACCAGCAGCCAGTGGGCTCCTGAGGCCGCACATCTGGATGCACACAGGTCTCAAGGACAGCGTGGCTTGGTTCCCATACACCCCCCAGCTGGTGTGGGAAGCTGGGACCCCTGGCCGATCCAGCCCCTCCTCAGGGAGTGGGCTCTCACGTCCCCGAGCTCTGAAGCCATCATCTCCCTTGCCGCAGATAAGGGCTCTGCAGGGAAGCCAGCTTGGGGTCCCAGAGAGGCCCATTAAATGCCCTTGACCCCGACACTGGGCACACACTGTGGAATTTTTCTTATGTTGTTTTTATGGCGTTCAGGAAGTGATGAGACAGAGACAGCTCGGCGTCCTGGCCTGGAACAACCCTGACACCCTCCAGGTGCCCAGCCTGGCCCTGCTTCCCCACAGGCACCTAGAGGTATGGTGGCCCCACAGACTCCTCCCTCCATGGCCCCAACGTGGAACTACGTCTCACCTGACTCCCCATCTAGCATCTAGAATCATCCGTCCTCAGAGCTCTGTGCCCTCGCTCAGGAGCTCTGCAACACACAGGACCTGCACAGCCAGCCCCCTCTCACCTCTCTGGCCACCTGGCACCACCTCTGCCAGGCAGGGGTCCTGCTCTGGCCGCCTGGCCTCTGGGACGTGGGCTGACGGAGCCCTGCTTGGCCCACCTCTGTGGAAGCACCCACTTCCCCAAGTTCCCCGTGGGCACCGGGCCTACCTGTTGGGGTTGTACTCGAGCGCGCCGACCTCCTCGCTGGCCTGCAGCAGGTCCAAGATGCCCGCAGCCGATCCCCCACCATCCTTCTTCACTTTGGCATTGCGGGCGGGCTTAGTGTCCGTGTCTATGTGCAGCGAACCCTCATCAGAGGAGTCATCACTCTGCTGTGGGGACAGAGTAGCCGGTCGGAAAAGGACTTGGGGGTAGGAGTAGGGACTACTGTTTCCCTTCAGTGAGAAAAAGAGGTTTTTAAAGAGCCTGTCCTTGTAATGAGCACCATGGGGCTGGCTGACCAGACACACAGAGCAGGGCACAGGTGCCAGAGTTCTGCGCTGGGATCTTGGAGCCCTGCCTGCACCATTTCCCCAGGTGAACCTTGGTTCACAGAACCTTACATGAGACCCCAATATTGAACATAGATACAAGAGGAGTCGGCGTGGTTGGACTGGGAACAGGCAGTGTGCCTGCACCTGAGGGACACCGGTTAATAGCCCCTGGCAAGTGGCTCTGCAGGGACACCTTGGGCTCTGCAGGCAGGGTATGACCCCAACAGGGAACCTGGCTTTCTTGGAGACAGCCACCGCATCCTGGGTTGGACATGCATGGCCTTGGAGGACATCTAACTTAACCCCCACATGTTTAGTGCAAGACCCAAGCCCCAGCAGGTCTGGCCTGCTACTCCCTGTACCCCAGTCCTCCAGCATCAAGGAGCTGCGTTATCCTCACGGTGGATCTGACTACGGAGGGCAGCTCCCGAGGCCCCACCACTCACAGAGACCTGCAGACCTTCCACAAGTCCCACATCTGCTTTTGTCCCTTTGTGCAGGGTCCTGGGGCTCAGAGCTCCACATCTGGAGCCCAGCCAGCCTCCCCAGGAGAACGTCCCCCTCTGCACTCCACCCAGAAAGCTCAGTCACCCAGAAGGCACTCGCTTACCTTGTAGAGAGCCGAGTCCAGCTTTGGCTTCGTAATGGGCGTGGGCAGCGGCTCCTTCTTGTCCAGTAGGACTGAAAGCAGAGCATATGGGAGTCAGCAGCAGTTTTGGAGGAGCAGAGGGGGACCCTGGTCCAGCCACACCCGATGCCCACTCCACATGCCTGAGATGGCCTTTACGGGGCTGGGCCTGCCCCCTCCCCATGTCCCCCCAACTCACAGGACAAGTCCCTCTTCGGAGCATTTTTCTTCCTCCTAATAGGAAATTCGTCAATCTTGAGCTCCCCGTCATCCGACACGTACTCATACTCATCCCGCACTGGCTGGGGCTTGTCCTCCTTGAAGTTCTGCAAGGCTCCAAACACCCCTGGGCCTGGCTGTGGCTTGAGGGCCTTGGAGCTGGGGCGGCAGAAGTAGGCCGGTCAGTGGACATCCACACAGCCTGGCTAGTGCCCCCAGCACCACCCCCCACAGGCCTTGGAGGACCAACAGCCAGGCTGGAGCCTTCCCAACCCCACAGCCTCCTCTCCAATGTCGTGACCCCAGTGAAGACAGCGCACAACCCACAGGGTATATGCCTGGCCCTTTCTCGGGCTATTTAAGGTTGTGCCCCCCACTGCCCCCTCACCCTAGCCAACGGATGAGCACGCCTTCTTTCAGGCTGCCCTGGGGCCTGATACAAGCCCAGTGTCAGATGGAGCCAGTGCCAGCTGGCCTGGGTTTTCTACATAGCTATTCTAGAAAAATAATTTCAGGGCCGAGGTGTAGACACAATAGTCTAAAAAGTTTCACACAACTCATCTCTCTCCTGGGGCAAGACAGGGCTACTGCAAACGAGGAGAGTCCAACGCTCCAGCTGCTGTCTCCCTGTGGGCTGAGGGCACAAGCACACACTCAGCAGTGGGGACAGCAGGCAGGGCACAGGCATCTGTGATTCTCAACAGGTACGGCTCTGATTCCCAACAATGGAAACACAGAGGACGGCTGGCAGTGAGCCCTGCTGGGTGTAGTCATGAGCTACGTAACACAACACACACGTACACACACACCCATGTACACACACACAGGTGTGACATAGTTATAGAATCATGTCTCCCTTTCTCCCGTCCATTTCTAAACTCTGTAGCGCAGTCGGTCAGTCATAGAGTTAATGCTGTGCAAAAGCTCCCCGGGACCCAGCAGCTGAGCTTCAGATACATCAAGGCCGTGCTCAGGGCCATGAAGTCAGGGCAACCGGGCCCCTGCAGATCAGACCCAACCCACCTGCTCAGCAAGCAGCCCTGGCACATTGCCGTGAGCTCTTGGGAATAACAGGCCCACTTGTGCCAGGTTCTTCAAGAGCACAAGATTCTGACAGGCTCTCCTCCCCCACCACCTAAAAATGGCCTTCTCCCCCCATCTTGCAGATGAGAAAACTCAGGCCTACAGCAGAAAAGTGGCCCCATTCCCACTGGGACGTGTCTGCTTCCTGATTGCTGGGCACCCACCCTGGACTTTGGATTCAGCATACAACTGGGTGTGGGACTGAAGCCACCGAGGGGCTTCTTGGTGGGCACAGGGTGTCTGGCCCACCAACCTCCCATCTGGCCAGCCCACCACACTGGTCAGCAGATGGAGACCCCTTATACAGTCCAGAGCCCGGACACACCAGCTCACACACACATACCCTCCCAGGCTAGGTGCCCCCATCTCTCAGCTCAGTGCCGTCTCCTCCAGGAAGCCCTCCCACCAACTCCCTTGGACACACAAGGCCTCCACAGCACCCCAGGCCCCACAAATCCTTCTCCCATGGCCCCAATCATGGCCATAATTTTAGATGGATTTGAGAGTGTTGGATTCATACCAGCCCCTCCCCACTGGCCTCTAGACTCCAAGGCCAAGATCCTGACCCCCACCATGTCCTCTGTGCCAGCCCAGGACAGCCACTCGGCTATCTGCCCAATCACACTCTCCTACTCCTTGCTGGCACACACCACTGCCCCCTCACCACCTACCCAAGCTTTTTGGCTTAGGAGGCAGGAAAGGAGTCAGCCTGGAGGCCCTCATGAGGGGTGTGCCGAGCAACAGCGCCAGCTCAGAATGGGGGCTCACCACGGAGCCCTCCAGGAGGGTGTACGTGTGTGTCGTGTGTGCACAAGCAGGGGATGTGTGTGTGTGATGTGGGGGGGGCGGTGTTCAGGGTGTGTGTGTGGCATGTGGCACATGTGCAACCAACCCCTCCTGGCACAAGCACTCACGTACCCTAGCAGTTTCTTGTTGGAGAAGGAAAATGAGAACTTGTTGTCCTTGTTCCCTGACAGAGGAGACTTCTCCAACTTCTGCTCTTCCTCCATCTTCAGTAAGGAGTCGGGTTTGCTGTTCTGAAAAGCAAACGCAGGACCATCCCTGAGCCCCACACAGGTGCCCAGTGGGCAGAGGCAGCTGGACTGGGCAGCCTCCTCCCTCTGACATGTCACCTGGGGACCCACTGCAGCCCCAGGCCCACAGGACCTGCCCTCGGATGCTGCCCAGCTCCAGGGAGTGTGAGCTTGAACCAGGGCAGGCTACAAAGGGCAACGCCATCCATGCTCTTAGGCCAAGATGTGCCCATGCCAGCCCCTCAGAAGGTAGCTCCATGGAAGCCACGTGCACACCCAGACCCTCAAAGACCTTCACGGCACTGCCCACCTGCAGACAGGCAGACACACACCTGACATACCCTACAGGCACACACACACACCACCGAGCCCACACCTGCCCTACACCACCTTCTTTCACTAACATAGCCCTCCCTGAGGGTAGATTCACTCACCAGCATACCTATACACACACATCTCACCTTGTACTTCCACTTGGCCTCCGACTTGCTCTTAGTCTGCTCTCGGATTTCCAACCTCTCCACGTCGTTCTGCGTGCTGATAACCTCCTTGTTGGGCACACTCAGGACATTCTTTGCAGCCTAGAAAATACTAGCCATTATCTGGTAGCGGACATGGGTGGGCAGCAGGCCTCCATCAGACTACAGTACAAAGTGAGGACCACACAGCACAGAGTCCCTGCCTCCTGCTGGCCTACATGCATCAGCTAATCTGTCAATCAATCTACCCACCCACCCATCCAACTAACCATCCATCCATCCACCCACCCATCCATTTATCCACCATCTACCTATCTACCCACCCATCCACCCACCACCCATCTATCTACCCATCCATCCACCCAACCATCCACTCATCCATCCACTCATACATTCACCAACCATCCATCTATCCACCAATCCATCCATCAAACCATTCACCCACACATTCATTCATCTACTCTTACTCCTCCCTCCCTTCCTCTCTCCTTCCTTCCTTCCATCCATTCATTCATTCATACATTCATCTACCCTCTTCGCCTTGAGGAAGGGAAAATCAGTGTGCCCCACTTAAGCCCTGCAACACTAGCTCCAGTGGCCACCAAACCCCTGGGAAGTGAGCAATGACTGCCCACTAGCAGGAAATCACTCAATGTGGCCTGGTCTCAGGGACTCATGGTCCCCAAAGCCCACACCTAAGACCCTCTACTCACATTGGTGGGTCCTCAGGGCCAGGCCTGCCTCTCTCACTGCCACAGGGGCTCAGGCCCCCAAGGACACCTGCCCCCATCACTGGCTCCACCCCTGCCTCCCCACTGCCCTCCACTGGTGCCTCACCCACCTTCAGGTCTCAGCCAATGTCTGGGCCCCAGGGAAGACTCAGCCGGCTTGTCCCCCCAGATGACCCTCAGTGGTGCCACCCTGACACAGCAGAGACTCTGCTGCCTTCATCGTGAGGGTCTCTCCCCAGCTGCCCACTACACCAAGCTTGTTGGGGCAGAGCCCAGCCGCCCTGGGTCTCTAGCACAAGGACATGGCAGCCCCAGCACCATCCCGCAGGCCTGGTCCTCGGAGGTGTCTGCAGGCCTGCTGACTATAGGTGGGGAGGGTGAGGCCACCCACCTTGCCCTTCTTAGGAGGCTCAATCTTGGTCAGTGCCTCCTTGGTGTGGGCCTCCAGCAGGTCCAGGTTGGGGATGGTGGGTGAAGCCGAGCCCCTGCACTTCTTCCCCTTCTTCTTGCCCCCGTCCTTGAGCTTCAGGGATTTGGGAGGCTTGGGGGGCTTTGGGGGCTTGGGAACTTTGGACGGCTTGGGCATCTTCACGGTTTTGGGAGTCTTTTTTTTGGACACTTTCTCCAGGAAGGACCGAGGAGGGCTGGCCTCAATGGGGGATGGGGGCTCCTCCTTTTCTCGGTCCCCAAAACAGACCTCGTCCGAGGAGACGGCCGCAGTTACTTCAGGTCGGGAGGCCTTGGAGGCATTCTAGGAAAAGGACAGGGAGAGGTGACCAACCACACCCTGCCAGGAGGGTCTCACAGCCCCAGGCCATGGGAGACACTCGAGCAGAAAAGGAGCATCTGTCTACATCATCAGTGACACGCTCACATCCATCTACACCATCTGTGTGACAGGCTCACATCCATCTACACCATCTGTGTGACATATTCACATCTGTCCCACACCATTCGTGAGGCAGGGTGCCATCCATCTACATCACCAACCACTTGACCCCTTTACCTCCTTGGTGGGGACTAGACAGGCTCACACAAGCAGGGTCTCAAGGGGCTGAAGTCCCCCCTGCAGAGTCCTTCCCCACCCCCACAGGGAGCTGGAGGGAGACCCCACACTAATTCCCAGGGCTCCCACCAGAAGACTGCAAGTCTACCACCGGGACCTAGGAGTCCAGAGCCATCATGCAGGTGACCCTGCCCCAGAGAGCTAAAGGAGGGGCTGCCTCACACATGGCCATCTCTGGAGGGATGCCCAGGGAAGACAGGCAGAGGCCTCCCTCAACCAGGGTCAGCGGGCCCCCAAGGTCAGCCCTACCTCACTGAGCCGGATCTCTTTGGCAAGGTCTTTGATGAGCTGCGACGGTTTGAAGTGCTCTGGTAGCTCATCTTCATGCTCCGCCAAAGCCTGCAGGACAGCCACGCACAGGGTCGGCGGCTCAGCTGCCAAGTCTGGGCACGGATGCCCACCCACCCTCCACCCACAGGGGCCCCAAGCAGCCTCAGCTTCTGTGGTTCCTGACTCATGCCCTCCGTCCCTCCAGGCTGTCCCCCCATCTACCCACCCAGGACCTCCGGCCCCACTGCCATCCCGACAGGCACAAGGGCAGGTGCTGCCAAAGGTATGGATTGGCTGCATGGGGTCCTAAGGGAGTTAGCCCACTCTGGCCAGACACTGCCCCAACGAGGAGGCTCTGCCATGACTCCACTCTACAGGTGGACAAACAAGTCCCAGAGAGGAGGGGGGTGCCTGCGCCCACCACCAGTTGTGAAGTGAATGTGGGCCATCCCTTCTTCCTGGGCACCAGGCCACTCCACCTGGCCATACAGCTGATGTGAGGTAGGAGGGACACCCTGCATTGCTCCAGGCCTTGAGGTAAGAGAAGATGTAGCTGAAAGAGGGCTCTAGGAGGGTACCTGCTGCCGCACCTCCTGGACTCCCCACCCCCACAAGGCCTCCTGCGGGCCTGATGGGATCTGCTCAGACTATGCTGGCACCCCTGATTGGGAGAGAGTCCCTTGGCAGTGGACAGGGAGTCCCAAGGCTGACCAGGCCTCTCCCCTCCCTCTGTGCCAACAATCCAGGCAAGATGCCAGAGGAGGTTGGAAGCTGCTGCTCTGGGGCCTCCATTAGAAGTAGTTGCTGCATGGATGCTAGCGAGGGCACTAACGCTTTACGGGGGGCATGAGGTGGGGCCCAGACATGCTGCTTCAGGAGGGCCATGAGGGGCAAAGGGCAGTGCCACGGTGGTGGTGGTTGGGGGGGTGATGGAGGGGCATGGGGCAAAGGGGCTGTCCTAGTCACAGAGCAAAGCCAGCTTCCGAGTTGATGCCTGGGACAGCCAGTAGGACAAAGAGGACATCTCCACTCTCCTCTTCAGAGCCCTGAACATCCAACCAGTCACTGACTCGAGTCCTCCCCGCTCCCTGTGCTTTTGGGTTCGCACAGTGCTGTCTCCACCACCTGATTTCCTCCCACTGACTCTCCCTGCCGCCCAGCCCCCACCCCTCAGGCCAGGTCCCTAGATGGAGGGCTCTGTCCTGCACCTGCCCCCACCAACAGGTGTCTGACCTGGCCAGGTGGCACCCACCTGCTTTTCACATGCTAGTTCCCACCAAAGGAAGGACAAGCCCTGGGAATGACTCCTCGCCTGCCACCCTCCCTTCTGCCCTGGATCACGCCTAGTACACATCCCTACCTGCTTTTTCGTCCATGATCTGAAAGCACCATTGAGAATTTTAGCTCCTTGGACTAAATGAGGGGGCAGCTGCTTCCCAGACTTGTGAGAACCTGGGGGAAGACAGACGGGTTTGCTCAGGAGGGTGCCCACTCTCACCTGCCGCCTGCAGGTGACTTAAAGCCCCAGTGGTGGGGGACGCTCAGGGCCAGACCTTCCAGAGGTCTCTGCCCACTGCCACCTGCCCAACTGCCAACGGTTCCTCTTGGAACCTAGGGGATGCCCACCTAAGATGCCCTGCGAGGGGCAGGATTGGCCTTCCCATTGTCTACACACCAGGCCCCTTATGCAGGTGGCCCAGCTCCTCCCTCCACCTGGTCCCCAGCCTGCATCAGTGAGAGGCCACAGTCAGGCCCCAAACCAAGCATCCCTAGATGCTTTCTGATTCCCACCCTCACACTGCCCCCTGCATAGCTGAAGGATGCTGGGCAGTGGGTCCAGTTCCCGCTGGGGTGGCTCAGGGCAAGCACCACTGCAAACACACCCCTGGGAGCTGGAGCCAGCCCCAAACAAAACGGACAGAGCATTCCCCCTTCAGGCAGAGAGCTCAGCATGGAGGCAGAGCAGCCCCGAGCTCTGACACCACCAGGTGACCATTTGTCTGGCCTGTGGCAAATCCCTGGGTCCTCTCAGCTCTGGGGCTGCTGAGCTGCCAGCCCCTTCACAGAGGAAGGCCTGAGGCAGAGAGGCAGGGGCAGCTCAGAGAGGCCCAGCTAGTCAGCGGTCACCCTGGTCAGGCTGTCCCAATGTCCCCAAGTGTGACTCCACCCACACGACCCCCATTCCATCTCCCTGGCAAGAGTTCCCTAGGGCAGGGCACTTGCTCTGCCAGGGTGGAGCACAGGGCTTGAATTTAGAGAGTGATGGAAGAATTTCACTGAAACTTGGCCAGCCCAGGTTAAGAACCATTTTCAGCTTTCTCATCTCAAATTAGAGCCAAAGTGCAAAGGTGGTGGTCTCCACTCAGCTCTTATCGGAACACAAAACAGCAGCTTCCTGGAAGGGTGGGTGCTGCTGAAAAAGGAAGCTCTCCATGAAAGTAAATGCTCCTCCTGGGTCCTTCACCCGGCTGCAGAAAGTCTGGAGACCTGAGCAGGGGTTGGCCACCAGGAGCCAAACACTGATCCCGAAGGCATGGCCTGGCAGGGCCTAGGATGGAGGGACATGCCCACAGAGGGCATGGACCCAGTGGAGCCCACCCCTTCCCACAGGCCTTCCACGGGGGACTCTGGCATGCACACCCACCCACCCACAGTACAGCAGGGATGCTGCAGGGGTCCCTGCAGGCCTCTCAATATCCCAACTGAGCCCTGTCAGTAACCACACAAGGCCACAGGAACCAAGCAGAACACACACCGGGTCTGGGAACATGCGGCCAGTGCTCTTTTTGCAACACCAGATGACCCTGCAGGCAGGAGTCCAGTCCAGCCCCACAGCACACAGACAGGAAAAGCAAGGCCCGTGAGCTAAGGAGACTTGCTCAGGGCCCATGAAGGCATCGCTCAGCCTGTTCCCCAGGGCCCAGCCGCCCTGCTGCATGATGGCAGAACTGTTACCACTCCCCGGCGTCCCTGAGCTCCGCACGCAAACGAACTGTCCAGAGCCGCAGGCTGAGACGCTGACCAGGGGACGTACTTTTGAACGCCTCCAGCAGGTGCTTCCCCATGTACCAGCAGGCAGTTTCGAAGTTGGGAAACTGAGTCAGGCTGCCCAGTTTCAACCTTCTTTCCACTTCGTATGCTCTGGAAGCCATAGCAAAGAACTATTCAGTGCATTAAGCCCTGAGCAGGCAATGATAAAGGAAGGTGAACCCACACTACGACCAGAGGCCACACCTACGCCATGACCTCTCAGGCCTCCCTTCTGGGCACTACGCGGCAAGGTGGACCAGAGGACCACATCAGGATGAGCGCTTTGCGTTAAGGGCAAGCCCCGTGGGCCGCGGCTTCTAGAGCTCTGGGTCAGTGTGCAAGGAGAAGGCAGCTCAGCCTTTCAGCTCACCCCAAACCCACTACAGTCCCGAGGCTGTCCAGCGACCAGGCACCTCAGGGGCCCTGGTAAGATCATGGCCCCTCTCCTCCTTCCTCCCCACCACCCAGAGGCCCAGCCAGGACTCAGGAGAGGTATCATCACACCGATGGTGGGGACCCCGCTCAGCGGATCCTGGGAGTCAGGTGTGGCCCTACCTCATCTGCATCTCCACGCTCAGGCTGTGCAGAAAATGTCCCGCGAAGGCCAGGCAGTCCACGGGTGTAAGTGTGGCATAAATCCAGCCTGGGGAGACAGGGATGGGGCTATCTCTTAACAGTGTTCTCATGCCAGGCTCTTGGCAGCTACTGGGCCTGACTCCTGCCAGCCCTTCCTCTGTGCCCCCATCCACCCGGGCCCCCTGGAAGGTGCTCTGGCCCTGGCTTCCGTGTAATGAGTGGGTGAGCCCTCCCAGAAGGACAGACTGTGTCCGAGCTCACAGTCTATTCTATCCAGCCCTGTATGGTACAGACAGGGAAACTGAGGCCCAGGAGCCAAGGGGACTTGCTCAGACCCACCCCAGGGTCGGGCTGCCTGGCATCCCTGATCTCCACATACAGGGGGGAAAGAGACAGGCAGAGTTGCCACACCTCCCGGGAGAGCTGGGTTTGTCCATACAGACTTCGGGAAATAACTGTGATTATAGGAAACAGGGGTAGGGACTAGATCAGGAGGCACTCAGAGGCACATAAATCAGTGGAAATGTGAGGGCCTCCATATACAACAATTAGAAAATCTGAACACCGACTGGCTATTTGGTGATACTAAGGAACTGTTAACTGTTCCTTTTTAAAGTGTGATGACAGTATTGTAATTAAGTTATCTTTAAAAGGAAACCTTACAGATACGGTGAAATATTTATGGGTGAAGCAACATGACATCTGTAAAGGGCATTTATCTGCTCATGTCATGTTTCCTCCTTCTGCGTATGTTTGGATGTTGAGATCAGCGAACACCATCTCTGACAGTGTGGCTGCGCTCTCTGGGCTGGGCTCTTGGGGCCCCATGCAATCCCACGTGCCTGGCCTCTGTGAGCACAGCCAGGCTGGAAGCTGCAGGGGCTCATGGCCCCAAGGTGGCCCCAGAGGTGACCACAGAGCAGGACTGACCCCAAGGCAAGGCAGGAAACAGCCAGGGCATGACCTCCCCTGGCAGACGTCAGAGGTGGGAGACACAACATGGGGACAGGGCACTCACCCGAGGGGATGAAGAGCGTCTGGCCCTGCTTGAGGGTGCACTTGTAGCATTTGTCCACCTGGTCAGCAAAGAACATCTCACTGTGGTTTGAGGCCGACTGCCAGCGCTCATACAGGGAGATGTTGGCCGAAGCTGGCTTGATGAGATAGAAGATCTTCTCCCCCTGCCAACAAGAGGCCATTGGCGGAGCCTGTCATATGCTGGGGATGCTGGGGGTGGGCAGTGCCCATCATGTCCTGGGGATGCTGAGAGGGGACGGAGCCCACCATGTCCCAGGGATGGGTCCTAGCTTCAACAGCATCCTGCCCAGGCCCATCATTCCTCCCCTGAAACACTGGGACCACATGTGCTTTGCAATTCAGATGTCTGCGTGTTAGGAAGACTCTAGGCACTGGCGCCTCCGGCATGTTCAGGGCAACCCCTACCACTCCACACACCATATCTCTGCAGCACTATGGATGCCTATCTGCCAAGGGGAACAACGTTGTGACCTGCTGTCTGACGAGTTACAAGAAAGCTCTGCTCTTGAGAGTGGCTTGGGTCCCAGCTGGAGATGGAAGGACGGCCCTGCTGCCAGCACCAGCACCAGTCCAGCCCTGCACTTGGACTAGGGAGATATAGACTATAGAGGTCCTCACTCACGAGGCACACAGGCTGAGGGTGGGGATGAACGGGGGGCGGGGGCAGGACTTGCTCAGGGCCTCGAAGGGCTAGGATCAGAAGCTGAGCTGCCTACCCTAGCCTGGGCTCTAACGGGTCTGGGGAGACCCGAGGCAAGGTGGTGAGCCCAAGGCTTAGGTTCTCCTTTTTTGTTTTTTTTCACATCTCCCTTTTCCCCTAGCTTCCCTACCTGTCCCCAGCCAGAAGTCCCCTAGCTCTCTCTGCCACTCAGATGCCACTGCAGCCTTGCTCCCCAGCCCCCAGCCCACCCCCTCATCCTCCCAGTGGGGCATGTTCCCTCATCCCTTCTGCCAGGAAGTCTTCCCAGCACAGCTCTCCCTTCCCTGGACATGAGCCCTTGGTCACCACTGCAGTGGGCCTCCTCCAATTGCTTCATGAGCCTCAATCTTTAGAAAAGGCAACACACATGTGCTGCTCTGGTCCTGAGGTGCTCCCCCCAACCCCCATGCCTCCCAAGGGCCCAACGTCTGTGTCCCTTCTGTGGAGAAACATCTTGTCCCTCATCCCACCTGATGCTGGCCACTGTTAGGGCCTCTGGGGACTACAAACGGTCCTGCAGGTGGACAGTGGCCTGGTCAAGAGCAGGTCTTGCCCCTGAGGCCCCCGTAGGGCCCACATGGGGAGCAGAGGCCAGCGCTCACCTTGAGCACGTGGTACCATGCAGAGGCACCCCCGGAGTCGATGTGAAAGTCAGTGTAGCTGTCCTTCACACAGATCAGGCAGTACTTGGTCACCTTGGGCTTGGCCAACAGTGCGTCGTCAGGCCAGTAGTTTTCTACCCAGGACAGTTTCTTTACGATGTCAGGAGGCTCCACAAAGCTGGACATTCTGGGGGCACGGACAGGAACAGTCAGCAGTGATGGGAACCGTCAGCACATTTGTTTTGCCCACTGGGCAGGATGGGAAAGGTGCTCTGAGATGCGTGTCCCATGCCTATTTCTCCACCTCGGGCTACATGGCATTGCTCCCATTCTACAGATGAGCAAACTGAGGTTCACAGAGGGCAGAATGAGCCCAGCTGCTGGGTGTGGCTGCGGCAGGCATCCAACACTGAGCTCTCACCCAAAGACAGGCATGGAGAAGGCCTGAGAAACAACTACCCCAGAAACAACTACCCCAGAAACAACTTCCTTCCTGGAGAAATGGAAAGAGACTTGTCAGGTGGGCTCATGCTAGTGTCACTGGGCACGATGGGGCCCTGAGAGTAAATATCATTGCTCATGCACAGCCCAGGCGCTTCCTGTCAACACCTAAGGAAAAGCCACTTCTCTCCAGAGCAGACAACAGGGGTGCCTGCAACTCCTTGCCATGCTGGGCCATGTCAGACCAGATAACTGATCTCCAGGCAAGATGAGAAAAGGCAAAGGCAGCCTTTGATTCTACTAAATGTCACTGTCCTGGATAGAATGCACAATACTGCATCAAAAACATCCAGCTCAGCAGCACCTGTGCAGTGACACTTCAGCCAAGCCGAGAACCGGGTCTCAGTGTTCTTGCTGCCTTCGCCACATCTCTGCCTTCAAGGCCATGCCTGCTCGGACATGATATTCACAAATCATAAGCCAGGCCACCCTGACCTCAACAGCCTCAGTCACAGGCTTAAATCTCCAGCATGTTCCAAACTAGTATCCCTCTCCATCCCTCCACCCTGGCCCCACTCACCTGGTGTCAGAGAACTCAAGGTTGGTAAGGTTAAGGACCCGCTTGCGGTTGGTGCTGTAGTAATAGTCCACAAACTCCTTCAGTTTCATCTTGCAGTCCTTCTGCTTGGTGACGTCTGTCACGTCCACACTCCGCTCTGGGCCTGGGGAGGCAGCAGGGGAGGGTGAGCACACCCAGGGAAGATGGTGTGGCCTTCCGTGAGGCCGGGGGCCAGGATGTGCAGAGGAAATGCTCACTCACCCTCAGAAGACAACTGAGAGAGGGCTGAATGCTGAGGCTCTAGGCTCTAATGTCTGACCCTCCCCCCACCTGCCCTGTCTGCTCCTTCCCTTGGGTGGCCATGAAGACCCCCTGGTACAGTGGGGTGGCACAGTAATGAGCCTCAGCTAAGGTGGCCAGATAAGCAAATAAAAATACAGGACACCAGGCAAAAACTTACACTTCAGATAAACAATGAAGATGTTTTTAGTGCAAATATGTCCCAAATAATGCATGGACATACTTATACATAAAAAATTTTTTAAATCAAAAATATTCTTGCATTTCTAGGACACCAACTCATTATTCTGAAAATTGAAAATAAAAGGAAAAACATTTATCCTACATTTTCTATACTTGATGGGAAAAGCTCAGGGTAAAAACTGTTGATGACAGAAATAGAGTTTTGGATAACCAAGTAACGAATAAGGGAAAGTTCTTTACAGAAGACTCACAATAGACAGAGAGAGAAGGACAGAATTAGCAAACTCTTCCTTTGCAACAGTCCTCACCGGCTGCTCAGACAGTGAGCTGAAAGGCTGATGGAGCATTCTGTGAACAGATGAGACTGCACTGCCTTGACCACTGAAAAGAAGTGGGTGGCAGCACCCCTACCCCAAGAAGGAGTCCTGCCAACAACTTGAACACAAATCTAAGCAACCTCTAACCACCCGTTACAGGAACTATTAGGGTCAGAAGAACACGTTAAATGACACCAAAGGGACGCTGTCAGCCAAATCCCTAATGTAAGATCTTCCCAAATCGCAAATATGAAAGATTCTCCAGAGAGATTGGTTCAAGATAGCGGAGTAGAAGGACATGCGCTTACTCCCTCTTGCAAGGGCACCAGAATCACAACTGCTGAACAGTCATCGACAGGAAGACACTGGAACTCACCAAAAAAGATACCCCACATCCAAAGACGAAGGAGAAGCCACAATGAGATGGTAGGAGGGGCGCAATCACAATAAAATCAAATCCCATAACTGCTGGGTGGGTGACTCACAAACTGGAGAACACTTATACCACAGAAGTCCACGCACTGGAGTGAAGGTTCAGAGCCCCACGTCAGGCTTTCGAACCTGGGGGTCCGGCAACAGGAGGAGGAATTCCTAGAGAATCAGACTTTGAAGGCTACCAGGATTTGACTGCAGGACTTCAACAGGACTGGGGGAAACAGAGACTCCACTCTTGGAGGGTGCACACAAAGTGCGGTGTGCATCGGGACCCAGGGGAAGGAGCAGTGACCCCACTGGAGACTGAACCAGACCTACCTGCTAGTGTTGGAGGGTCTCCTGCAGAGGCGGGGAGTGGATGTGGCTCACCATGAGGACAAGGACACTGGCAGCAGGAGTTCTGGGAAGTACTCCTTGGTGTGAGCCCTCCCAGAGTCCACCAATAGCCCCACCAAAGAGCCGGGTAGGCTCCAGTGTTGGGTCCCTTCAGGCCAAACAACCAACAGGGAGGGAACCCAGACCCACCCATCAGCAGACAAGTGGATTAAAGTTTTACTGAGCTCTGCCCACCAGAGCAACACCCAGCTCTACCCACCACCAGTCCCTCCCATCAAGAAACTTGCACAAGCCTCTTAGATAGACTCATCCACCAGAGGGCAGAGAGCAGAAGCAACAACAACTACAATCCTGCAGCCTGTGGAACAAAAACCACAGTCACAGAAAGATAGACAAGATGAAAAGGCAGAGGGCAATGTACCAGATGAAGAAACAAGATAAAACCCCAGAAAAACAACTAAATGAAGTGGAGATAGGCAACCTTCCAGAAAAAGAATTCAGAATAATGATAGTGAAGATGATCCAGGACCTTGGAAAAAGAAAGGAGGCAAAGATTGAGAAGATGTAAGAAATGTTTAACAAAGACCTAGAAGAATTAAAGAACAAACAAACAGAGATGAACAATATAATAACTGAATGAAAAATATACTAGAAGGAATCAATAGCAGAACAACTGAGGCAGAAGAACGGATAAGTGACATGGAAGACATAATGGTGGAATTCACTGCCGTGGAACAGAATAAAGAAAAAAGAATGAAAAGAAATGAAGACAGCCTAATAGTCCTCTGGGACAACATTAAACTCAACAACATTTGCATCATAGTAGTCCCAGAAGGAGAAGAGAAGGAGAAAGGACCTGAGAAAATGTTTGAAGCGATTATAGTCGAAAACTTCCCTAACATGGGAAAGGAAATAGCCACTCAAGTCCAGGAAGCACAGAGAGTCCCAGGCAGGATAAACCCAAAGAGAAACACGCCGAGATACACAGTAATCATATTGACAAAAATTAAAGAAAAATTTTTGAAAGCAACAAGGAAAAAATGACAAATAACATACAAGGGAACTCCCATAAGTTTAACGGCTGATCTCTCAGCAGAAACTCTAGAAGCCAGAAGAGAGTGGCAGGACATATTTAAAGTGATGAAAGGGAAGAACTTACAACCAAGATTACTCTACCCAGCAAGTATCTCATTCAGATTTGACGGAGAAATCAAAAGCTTTACAGACAAGCAAAAGCTAAGAGAATTCAGCACCACCAAACCAGCTCTACAACAAATGCTAAAGGAACTTTTCTAAGTGGGAAACACAAAAGAAGAAAAGGACCTACAAAAACAAACCCATAACAATTAAGAAAATGGTAATAGGAACATACATACTGATAATTACCTTAAACGTGAATGGATTAAATGCTCCAACCAAAAGACAGAGGCACCCTGAATGGATACAAAAACAAGACCCATATATATGCTGTCTACAAGAGACACACTTCAGACCTAGGGATACATACAGACTGAAAGTGAGGGGATGGAAAAAGATATCCCATGCGAATGGAAATCAAAAGAAAGCTGGAGTAGCAATACTCCTGTCAGATAAAATGGACTTTAAAATAAAGACTGTTACAAGAGACAAAGAAAGACACTACATAATGATCAAGGGATCAATCCAAGAAGAAGATATAACAATTATAAATATATATGCACCCAACATAGGAGCACCTCAATACATAAAGCCACTGCTAACAGCTATAAAAGAGGAAATCGACAGTAACACAATAATAGTGGGGGACTTTAACACCTCACTTACACCAATGGACAGATCATCCAAACAGAAAATTTATAAGGAAACACAAGCTTTAAATGACACAATAGACCAGATAGATTTAATTGATCTTTATAGGACATTCCATCTGAAAACAGCAGATTACACTTTCTTCTCAAGTGCACATGGAACATTCTCCAGGATAGATCACATCTTGGGTCACAAATCAAGCCTCAGTAAATTTAAGAAAATTGAAATCATATCCAGCATCTTTTCTGACCACAACACTATGAGATTAGAAATCAATTACAGGGAAAAAAAAAGTAAAAAACACAAACACGTGGAGGCTAAACAGTATGTTACTAAATAACCAAGAGATCACTGAAGAAATCAAAAAGGAAATCAAAAAATACCTAGAAACAAATGACAATGAAAACACAATGATCCAAAACGTATGGGATGCAGCAAAAGCAGTTCTAAGAGGGAAGTTTATAGCTATACAAGCCTACCTCAAGAAACAAGGAAAATCTCAAATAAACAATCTAACCTTACACCTAAAGGAACCAGAGAAAGAACAAACAAAACCCAAAGTTAGTAGAAGGAAAGAAATCATAAAGATCGGAGCAGAAATAAATGAAATAGAAACAAAGAAAACAATAGAAAAGATAAATAAAACTAAAAGCTCGTTCTTTGAAAAGGTAAACATAATTGATAAACCATTAGCCAGACTCATCAAGAAAAAGAGGGAGAGGACTCAAATCAACAAAATTAGAAATGAAAAAGGAGAAGTTACAACAGACGCCACAGAAATACAAAGCATCCTAAGAGACTACTACAAGCTACTCTATGCCAATAAAATGGACAACCTGGAGGAAATGGACAAATTCTTAGAAAGGTAAAACCTTCCAAGACTGAACCAGGAAGAAATAGAAAATATGAATAGACCAATCACAACTAATGAAATTGAAACTGTGATTAAAAATCTTCCAACAAACAAAAGTCCAGGACCAGATGGCTTCACAGGTGAATTCTATCAAACATTTAGAGAAGAGCTAACACCCATCCTTCTCCAACTCTTCCAAAAAATTGCAGAGCAAGGAACACTCCCAAACTCACTGTATGAGGCCACCATCACCCTGATACCAAAACCAGACTAAGATACTACAAAAAAAAGAAAATTACAGACCAATATCACTGATGAACATAGATGCAAAAATCCTCAACAAAATACTAGCAAACAGCATCCAACAACACATTAAAAGGATCATACACCTTGATCAAGTGGGGTTTATCCCAGGGATGCGAGGATTCTTCAATATACGCAAATCAATCAATGTGATACACCATATTAACAAACTGAAGAACAAAAACCATATGATCATCTCAATAGATGCAGAAAAAGCTTTTTACAAAATGCAATACCCATTTATGATAAAAATTCTCCTGAAAGTGGGCACAGAGGGAACCTACCTCAACTTAATAAAGGTCATATACAACAAACCCACAGCAAACATCATTCTCAGTGGTGAAAAACTGAAAGCATTTCCTCTAAGATCAGAACAAGACAAGGATGTCCACTCTCACCACTATTATTCAACATAGTTTTGGAAGTCCTAGCCATGGCAATCAAAGAAAAAGAAATAAAAGGAATACAAATTGGAAAAGCAGAAGTAAAACTGTCACTGTTTGCAGATGACATGATACTGTACATAGAGAATCCTAAAGATGCCACCAGAAAACTACTAGAGCTAATCAATGAATTTGGTAAAGTAGCAGGATACAAAATTAATACACAGAAATCACTCGCATTCCTATACACTAATGATGAAAAATCTGAAAGAGAAATTAAGGAAACACTCCCATTTACCACTGCAACTAAAAGAATAAAATACCTAGGAATAAACCTACCTAAGGAGACAAAAGACCTGTATGCAGAAAACTATAAGACACTGATGAAAGAAATTAAAGATGATACTAACAGATGGAGAGATATACCATGTTCTTGGATTGGAAGAATCAATATTGTGAAAATGACTATACTGCCCAAAGCAATCTACAGCTTCAGTGCAATCCCTATCAAATTACCAATGGCATTTTTTGCAGAACTTGAACAAAAAAATCTTAAAATTTGTACAGAGACACAAAAGACCCTGAATAGCCAAAGCAGTCTTGAGGGAAAAAAACGGAGCTGGAGGATTCAGACTCCCTGACTTCAGATTATCTTACAAAGCTACAGTAATCAAGACAATATGGTACTGGCACAAAAACAGAAATATAGATCAATGGAACAGGATAGAAAGCCCAGAGATAAACCCATGCACCTATGGTCAACTAATCTATGACAAAGGAGGCAAGGATATAAAATGGAGAAAAGACAGTCTCTTCAATAAGTGGTGCTGGGAAAACCAGACAGCTACATGTAAAAGAATGAAATTAGAACACTCCCTAACACCATACACAAAAATAAACTCAAAATGCATTAGAGACCTAAATGTAAGACTGGACACTATAAAACCCTTAGAGGAAAACATAGGAAGAACACTCTTTGACAAAAATTACAGCAAGATCATTTTTGACTCACCTCCTAGAGTGATGGAAATAAAAACAAAAATAAACAAATGGGACCTAATGAAACTTAAAAGCTTTTGCAAAGCAAAGGAAACTACAAACAAGACGAAAAGACAAACCTCAGAATGGGAGAAAATATTTGCAAATGAATCAATGGACAAAGGATTAATCTCCAAAATATATAAACAGCTCATGCAGCTCAATATTAAAAAAACAAACAACCCAAACCAAAAATGGGCAGATGACCTAAGTAGACATTTCTCCAAAGAAGACATACAGATGGCCAAGAAGCACATGAAAAGATGCTCAACATCACTAATTATTAGAGAAATGCAAATCAAAACTACAATGAGGTATCATCTCACACCAGTTAGAATGGGCATCATCAGAAAATCTACAAACAAAAAATGCTGGAGAGGGTGTGGAGAAAAGGGAACCCTCTTGCACTGCTGGTGGGAATGTAAATTGATACAGCCACTATGGAGAACAGTATGGAGGTTCCTTAAGAAACTAAAAATAGAATTACCATATGAACCAGCAATCCCACTACTTGGCATACGCCCAGAGAAAACCATAATTCAAAAAGACACATGCACCCCAATGTTCATTGCAGCACTATTTACAATAGCCAGGTCATGGAAGCAACCTAAATGCCCACTGACATATGAAGGGATAAGGAAGATGTTGTACATATAAACAATGGAATATTACTCAGCCATAAAAAGGAATGAAATTGGGTCATTTGTAGAGACGTGGATGGATCTAGAGACTGTCATACAGAGTGAAGTAAGTCAGAAAGAGAAAAACAAATATTGTATATTAACGCATATATGTGGAACCTAAAAAAATGGTATAGATGAACCGGTTTGCAGGGCAGAAATGGAGACGCAGATGTAGAGAACAAACATATGGACACCAAGGGGGGAAAGTTGCAGGGCATTGGGGTGTGTGGTGGTATGAATTGGGAGATTGGGATTGACATATATACACTAATATGTATTAAATGGATAACTAGTAAGAACCTGCTGTATAAAAAAATAAATAAAATAAAACTCAAAAAAGAAAAAAAAAGCAAGATTCTCCAGGACTAACAACCCCATTTCTCCAACAAACCAAGGGAGTGGAAAGGGGATGGGGGCTGTTACAGAAGAGACTGAAGGGACATCAAACCCAAATGTAGTGTGTGGTCTTGTTTAGATTCAGAGTCAAACATCCAAATATAAAAAGGTGTTTTTGAGGCAACTGGGGAGAATTTAGGTGGTCTTAGGTGATTTTAAGGAATTATTGTTAGTGTCGTAAAGTGCAAGGTGGAACTGTGATTATATACTTATTTAAACTGTCTGTTAGTGCTGTGTACTGGAGTTTTCATGGGCGAAATGATGTACGTACCAGAGACTTGCCTTCAAATACTTGGGGGAGGAGGGAGGAGTTGGGGAGACAGGAAAACAGCCAAAAGCTGATGGGTTTTGTGACCAGTACTGGGTACATGAGGGTTCACTGCTTATTTCTCTCATTTTGTGTGTGTGTGAAAAGTTGCATAATAAAAAAATTAAGAGCTGAAAGAAAGACATTTACAACAGAAACCTCTGGACCGTCTCCTCTCCTATTCAGTAAGCTGCTTCCCACTCCTGTAAGCACAACTGGTTGGGGGGTTGGGGGGAGGCAGGGACTGCGGCAGACCTGGCCCTGCCCTTTGCAGCTGGCTGAGCCTGGGGCCTGGATGACAGAGTTGTGAGCAGGACAACACTAGCTCCTATGCAGAAACAGCTTAGAAAAATGCCTGGCACCTGGTAGACACTCACTAGTTATTAACTGTTATTACAGGTGCTACGACATGGCAGAGACAGTCCTGGACTGTGGTCATTCCCAGACTGAAAACATGAGTCCCTTCTTCCTCCCTGCCACAAGCCGGCCAGCCCTGGGGCCTCCCCTGGTGGGCTTCGGCTCCAGAGAAGGGGTGTTTCCCACCCCGCCCCCTGTTCTCTGGAATGCCACTGGCTTCCTGTGTGGCTTGTACAGATGATCTCATTTAATCCTCACACCCATCTGCCCCCTGCCCCCCATTCATGAGCCTTACAGATGCAGAGGGTCAAGAGCTCAGTGATGGAACAACTTGTCTGAGGGTTTCAGCACCTGTGCCCTCTCCTGCCCAGTGTGCGGCCAGAGCTGGCCTGGGCATTTGCCTTTTCAGGGTCTTTCCTCTCCCCTCTCCTCACTGGCCACCCAGGCATCCCTGTGAACACCCCAATCCCCAGCAACCATGAGGGCCTCAGAGCCACGGCTGTGAGGCCACCAGCCCTGCCAAGGTCACTGCAAGCACGTGCTAGCCTCTCCGTGCCAGATGATGTCCCAGCACATACAAGCACTTCATCCACCCAGAGGTGTCCTGACCGAGGGTGTCCACAGCACTGGGAGCTGCCAGGGAACACAAGACAGGGCGCCAATAGCACCAGCTAGAACCCAAAGGGATCCAGAAGAGGAGGTAGTCCTGGGGCCATGGGACGGCGTGTCCAGGGCAGACAAGGGAGGTCAGCCCCCAGGTTGGCCCCAGCAGAGGCTGAGGAGGACATGGCACGAACATCAGGAACTGTGGACAACACAGCTGGGGCCCTCCCAGGCATGACTATCATTAGCGCCCAACAGTACTATAGCTGGCAGAATCCAGGGGTCCCCACGAAACCCCCATTTTGTGGGCAGAGTAACTAAGAAGGGAAGGGGCCTGGGTCCCGCATCATTTGCTGGGGCATGGGGTCTCATTCTAAGAAGAGCACCCAGAACGGAACAAGGAGACCCTGAGTCACACTGGCTCACGTGGCTCTGAGACACAGTCAGGGCCTAGGCAGCATATACAGGGACTCCTGGCTCAGGGAGCCCACAACTCACTTGCAGGAGAGGGCACTTACCCACGTAGTTCTCGACGTCGCTGACATAGAAGGTGGGGGCTGGGACCGCCAGGCCCAGCCCATCTTTCTTGGGGACAAGGATGGGCTCGGTGAAGCCATGCTCTTCCATGTAGCCCAGCGTGAGCTGGTTGCCCGTCACGCGGGCCACCACGTCTTCCGCGCTGCAGGGAAATACAAGTCAGGGGTCACATCAAGCCCAGGTCCCAGCCTCCATGATAGGCCTGGACAGGGCCTCAGGGCTGCAGACATGGAGCCTGAGCTCCAGGCACACACCGCCCATGCCCCAGAAGGAGGACCTGCCACAGTGCCACACTCAGTGGTCACGGGGCAGCCACAAGGTAGACATGACAGGGTCCCACACACTCGTCACAGACAGGAACCTTGAGGTCCAGGAGGTCTGGGCACCTGTCCAGGGCCGTGGTGAGTAGAGAATGGGGACACACTGCACCCATCCCTCTTACTATGGCAGAGGGAGCCTCCAGACATGTGAGCGAGATCCCTCCCCCACCTCCCTTGCTCTCCACTCACCCTCCACTCGATAATATTCCTCTCAAGTGCTCAGAGATCAGACCCCTGCATGGGGGTAGGTCTAAGGACACAGCAGATGGAGATAAACCCCTTTACAGAGAGAACCTACCCCCTGGACAAGCCAAACACAGGACCCAGGGCTGGGCTGGGATGCTGTGGTCAGCAGCTCTCCTGCCTCCCTGTGTGTCGGATGCTGCCCTGGGCGACAGAGGCCTGTGGGACCCAGCTGGAAAGACCCCTGTGTGGTGATGCTGAGAGGGGCTTTCATCAGATGAGCATGCAAGGCCATTAACCCACAGCTGAGAGCAGTGCTGTGGTGGAGACAGCAGGAAGCAGTGTCAGGCTGGGCCTGTCGAAGCCTGGGGGAGCAGGAGTGAGAGGGGCAGGGCTCCGAGTAGAAGAAATGTACCAGCAAAGGCCTTGGAGGGAGGAGGATGTGGCAAGTGTGAGGAATAAGAAGGACCTGGGTGGCTGGGGGCGGGGGGGGCGGGCAAGCACCCAAGTCGGTGAGGTGGTGGGCCAGGCCACCTCATGCCAAGAGCACTGGGGAGCCACTGGACAACTTGAGAAGGGCAGTGACGGTCAGAGATTCATCTGGCTGCTGTGCGGATGTAGAGTGGACAGCAGCAGGACCAGGGTGGGGCGGGGCAACCACGGAGGAGGAGGCTCAGCATGCGGTGCCTGGACCAGAAGGTGATGGTGAGGGGGAGGTAGTGGACTCAGGAGATCAGATGGGGGTGGGAGAACAGGGGGAGGCAAAGGTGAATGGCCAAGGGACTGGCCTGAGTGACCAAGGGACCGGGGCCACTGACTGAGGCCTGGAGGTGGGGCAGGAATGGGGGTGGGGGCAGATCCAGAGCTGAGTAGGAACACACTAGTTGGGATTGGCCAGTGGATGCACCAGTTGGACAGACAGGTCAGGAGCTCAGAAGGACTAGTGGCTGGAGAAAGAAGTTGAGGAGCTGCTGGCCAAGGGACAATCTATGAGGCCAGGGAAACAGATGGTGGGGATCGAGCAGAGTTCCCAGAATCCCTCAGGGAGAGTCGTCAGCAGGGAAGGAGGCAGGGCAGGGAAGGACAGCCAGCAGAGTATGGTGGCATGGTCTCTACAGAGGACAGGACTCAAGGAGAGGGGACTGCACCACTGCTACGTGTTGACAAGGGTCAGTTAAGGTGAGGACTGAAGAGTGATCCTGGGGTTTGACACCATGGTGACAGAGTGTTAGGGATAAATCAGAAGGAGTGAGTGGAGGGTGAGGAAAAAGAAGTAGTGTGGTGGGCAACTGCTGTGAGAAGCTCTGGGAGTACTGGGACAGCACAGAGTCAGCTGTGGAAGCTACAAGGCAGCCAGAGGTAGAAGGTCGCCCTTGATAAACTGGAATCCCAAGCTCTTGTCTCACTAGTGAGAGTTCCAAATTCACACCCATGGATTGGGTCTGGAACTGTGAAACTCATGAGGACCCAGCAAGAGGCAAACACGAGGGCTTCCCTGGTGGCGCAGTGGTTGAGAGAGTCCACCTGCCAATGCAGGGGCCACGGGTTTGCGCCCCAGTCCGGGAAGATCCCACATGCCGTGGAGCGGCTGGGCCCGTGAGCCACGGCCGCTGAGCCTGCGCGTCCGGAGCCTGTGCTCTGCAACGGGAGAGGCCACAGCGGTAAGAGGCCTGCATACAGCAAAAAAAAAAAAAAAGACCAGAGGAAACCATCCTGTAGGGACACCTCAGAGCCCAGGGCAGACTGGCTGCCATGGGAATGATGCCCTCTGAAGATCACACCTCACAGAAGGAGGTGAACCCCCAGGAGGCAGAGCCAGCAGCCTCATCTGCCCAGAAGAGTAGATCCCAAGAACTGAGGATAATAGGATAATTGAAAAGGCCATTTTAAGACAAGTACATTAAACACATCCAAAGGGATAATGAGAGGATAAGGCAAAGAACAGAGAAGGAGGAAAAGAACAGGCAACACTAAAAAGGAATAGAAATTGTAGGAAAAAAAATATGATGATTGAAATTTTTTAAAACTCAGTAGATACATTAAATGGTAGCTGGCTGAAAAAAAAATAGTGAATTTGATGAAAAGATCTGAAAAATAAGACAGAATGGGGAAGAAGTGCTATTAAAAGAGAAAACAGGACATTTTTTAGAATTGAGATAAAATATGACACCTCAAATTAAAGGCACTTACTGAGTCCTGAACAGGATAAATAAAAACAAATGCACATTAGAGGCACTGCAGTATACCTATAGTATATTAAAAATGAGAAAACAATCTCAAACGTTTTCAGAGAAAAAACCAGATTATTTACCAAAAATGAAACGAAACAAAAACTCCAGCAGCTAGACTGATATCAGTAACAATAAATGTCAAAAGACAACAAAATAGTATCTCCAAAAAGTTCAAGGAAAATAACTTTTACTCTAGAATTTTAGATCCATTTTAGAAAATTAGAATCATGCAAGAATAAAGACAAAATAAAAATATTTTCAGACACAGAGAATATTTTTATAGGCCTTTTCTGAAAGAACTACTAACGGATAAAATTCAACAAGGAGGAAACCAAATCTAGAAGGAAGGAGTGGGATTCAAGAAATAATGGAAAACTGATCTACAGATTCCACACAATCCCTGTCAAAATACCAGCTGACTACTTTGCAGAAACTGACATGCTGAACTGGGAATGCTGAATGAAATACAAGGCACCCAGATAACCAAAACAGTCTTTAAAAAGAAGAAAGTTGCAGGGCACTTCCCAATTTCAAACTTCACTACAAAGCTACAGTAATCAAAATTGTGTGATACTGGCATAATATGAGACATATGGATCAATGGAACAGAATTGAGGGTCCAGAAATAAACCCAAACATCTATGGTCAATTGTTTTTCATCAAGGGTACCAAGATAATTCAATGGCGAAAGAATAGGCATTTCAATAAATGGTGCATGGGAGAACTGGATATCCACATGCAAAGGAATGAAGTTGGACCTTTACCTCACAACATATACAAAAATTAACTCAAAATGAGTTAAAGACATAAATATAAGAGCTAAAACTATAAAACTTTTAGAAGAAAACATAGGCATAAATCTTCATGACCTTGAATTTGGCAATGGTTTGTTTTTGTCTAAAACAAAAGCACAAGCAACAACAGAAAAAATAAATAAATTAGACTTAATCAAAATTAAAAATTTTTGTCCTTCAAAGACACCAAGAAAGTGAAAAGACAACCCATAGAAGTGGAGAAAGTATTTGCACATCATATATCTGGTAAGGGACTTGTATCTAAAATACATAAAGAACTCTTACAATTCAATAATAAAAAGACAAAAAAAAACCTTTTAATGGGCAAACGACAAATGGCCAACAAGAACATGAAAAGATGCTCAACATCACTAGTCATTAGGGAAATGCAAATTAAAACCACAGTGAGAGACCACTTCACAACTACAAGGATAGGTAGAATCAAGAAGTCAGATAAGGGACTTCCCTGGTGGTCCACTGGTAAAGAATCTGCCTTCCAACTCAGGGGAAGCGGGGTTTGATCCCTGGTCAGAGAACAAAGATCCCACATGCTGCAGGGCAACTAAGCTGGCTCACCACAACTACTGAGCTCACACGCCTCAACGAGAGAGAGAAAACCCACATGCCACAACTAGAGAAAAGCCCGCTAGAGAGAAGCCCATATGCCACAACTAGAGAGAAGCCCGTGCTTCTCAACGAAAGATCCCACACGCCTCAACAAAGATCCCGCATGCCGCAACTAAGACCCAACGCAGCCAAAAAAAAAAAGTCAGATAATAACAAGTACTGGTGAATTGAAACCCTCAGACGCTGCTGGTGGGAATGGAAAGTGATACAACCATTTTAGAAAACAGTCTGGCAGTTCCTCAAACAATTAAATATTGAGTTACTCCTAAAAAAAATGAAAATATATGTCCAAACAAAATACTTTACAAGAACATTTATAGTAGAATTCTTCACAGTAGCCAAAAATCAGAAATAACCCAAATGTCCATCAGCTGATGAATGGATAAACAAAATGTGGTCTATACATACAACGGAATATTATTCGGCCATAAAAAAGGAATGAAGCACTGACACTTGCTACACCCTGGATGAACCTTGAAGACATTATGCTAAGTGAAATAAGCCAGTCACAAAGGCCACATATTATATGATTTCATTTTGATGAAATGTTCAGAATAGGCAAAGCTACAGTGACAGAAAGCAGATTAGTGACAGGACTTTGGGGAGAAGTGGGGAGGAATGAGGATGATAAAGCTACAGGTTTCTTTTTGAGGTGATGGAAACATTCTAAAACTGACTGGTGGTGGTGCAGAGCTGTGAATACACTGAACTGTACCCTTTAAATGGATGGATTGTATGGTGTATGAATTATATCTCAATAAAGGTGGAAAAAAAGAAAATAAAAAAGAAGCCAGAGAGGAAAAATACCTTATCCACTGAGCAGCAAGGCTAAGAGTTACACTGAATTTCTCACCAGAAACCATGCACTCAAGTCAAGCATGGGATGAGACATTTAAAGTGTTAAAAGAAAAAACCCACCAACTTAGAATTCTGTGTCCATCAAATTATCCTTCAAAAGTGAAGAAGAAGTAAAGACTTTGTAAAGACTTTGTCAGACAAACAGAAACTGTTTTCCAGCTGTGAAGGGACAAGGGTGTTTCAGAGCAGCTGTCTGTACAACCTCACGTCCATGCAGTCACGGTGCCCCCCTCACCAGAAACCATTTCCTGTGGCCCTGATCCTGCTCTCTGCCCTCGGTCCTCATATAGGACAAGGCTGCGCAGGGGGAGGGTGTGCTCTAAGAAGACCTAGGGACACCCCACCAGGCCATGGACACAGAGGAAAGCCCACAGCCATTTGACACCAGGACCTGCCACCTCCAGAGGATGGTCTCAGGCTGGACGCCAGCCCCCACTCCTGGTCCATAAAATGGGAATGGTAGCCTCTCTCTCAGGAAGGTTCCATGGGAAGGCCCATACCAGGTGGGGGAGGTAGGTCCCTTCCCTCCCAGGCTGTGAAGAGGGTCCCCATAACCTGTCCTCCGAGGTGCTGAGAAGGGAGAGATCAGCCCCCATGCCGGGAGCACCTGGAGTTTCGGGGACTGTGCTGCTCCCCCAGAGGGAAGCCCATGGCCCTGGAGTCCTAGTGGTGGGGTGCATATCCAGACCTCGGAGGGAGCAGGCAGGCTGGAGAGGAAAAGGCTGCCACCTGCTCACCTGGGAAAGGTCCGACTCCGCAACTCCTTGATGAAGAGCTGGCTGCCATTCTGCACGGGCTTCACTTCGGGAGTCTGCCCCGGGCCATGTTTGTGCCAGGTTCGCTTCTTTTTCACTGTGGGGGAACAAGAGGCAGGTCATCACTCACAGCCCCCTCCCCTTGCCTCCAGGGACCCGGCCAGGAGGGCAGCCACCGTGAATGCTGCAAGACTCAGACCCCTCAGAGGCAAAGAGCTTGGGGTTCCCTGGCCCTGGCCCACCCCGCCTCCCCTGCCTCTCAGGACCTCAAGTTGTCACATGGTCAGGAGCCCCCACCCTCCACATCCTTGAGTCACAGCCCCCACCTCACCTCCCGACCTGCCAGCTCAGACGATGCACCCGAAAGCTGGGGCCTTCCTGGGACCCCATGTCACTCAGCACTCAGTCTGCTGAGAACTCGTCAGAGGCACCTCCTGAGAAGGTCCCACTAAGGCTCACTATTCAGGACCCCTCCCACCTGGCCTCCCCTCAGATTTGCCCTCAAACAGCACCAACCCTGTCCTTCCCTGCTGGGACCTTTGCTGCCATGACAGACCACAACTCACAGGCAGGGCAGGCCAGCGTCACCTGCTGTGCCCTCTGCCCTCCCCACCCCCTGCCCACTCCCTCAGGCTGTCCTATTGTCACACATGCTCCAAGGGCACTGGACACACCCACCTTGGACTTTTTACAAGTGAGCATGCACACCTGTCCCTACTGGGCTGTGACACATGTGTGCACACACATACACACACATGCGCACCCATACACAAGCACACATGCCCCTACTGGACTGGGACAGGCACGTGCACACTAGCACACACACACACACACACGCAAGCACAAACGCGCACACGCATACACACTAACGTTTGCCCCTACTGGACTTTGAGCCCCCAGAGGGAAGGAAGCTATTTCCTTGATACCCTTGCCCCCATTCAGGGCAGCCACAGATAACTCGGTGAGTGAAGATGGGCCAGGCATGGAGACCATCCCTGGGGGCTGCCTAGAAGGGTCTGAAACAGGCTGAGATGAGACTGGAGGTGAGGGAGAGCTGGTGGGGCCCTCAGGGTGCCTGTCCTTCACAGATGGGGACGGGGTGGGGGCTGCAGTCCTCCTGCATCCCGGTGGTTGTGGGGATGAAGGGAGCTGACAACTGCCCCTGAGTAGGACCTGCCTAAAGCAAGAAGGGGAAAGCGCTAGGTGGATGGTGGCTGAGCTGACCTCTGTTCCAAACTGCCACCCCTTCCCCGTCTCATCAAGTCATAGCTCCTTGAGGCTGTCTCCTACAACAGGTGATATTTACATCATGCTTGGTCTCCAAGACCAAGGTGTGAGTGGATACTATGGAAATCTGTCAAGATCCTACGAAGGGAGGTCTGGAGCTGGAACTTCTGGTGGCAGCACCAGGCACAGACAGGAGATCCAAAGGGATCCAACTATCTTGTAGTCATGTGACCCTAGGCAAGTTACTAGGTATCTCTGTGCTTCATCATTAATGCTAGTCCTGGCTTCCCAGGCTCCTCGTGAGCGTGGAGTGCCCTGTGTCAGAAGGCCATGTGGGGAAACCAAGTCTTGGAGGGGGCATGCAGCCCAGTGATAGCAGACATGCAGGGGAGCAGTGGGCAGCAGGAGAGAGAAGCAGAATCTCCATTGCCTGCCAGGAGCTGGGCCTGAGAAGTGCATGCTGACCAGGGGCCAGTGGCAGTCCTGGGCCACCTGGGCTTCCCAGGCCCTCACTCAGGACTGGGCAGCTCCAAGAACCTCGTGGAGAGGCTGGAATACACCTGATACTGTGGCTGGAGCAGGTATGCTGGGACAACAGCCAAAGATGAAGCTGTGAGGCAGGGTCTGAGCTCCATGGGGCTACCCTTGAACCCCTCTGCAGCCCTGGCTGGTGGGCTCCCTCCCTCCCCAGGTCCCATGACCCTCCTAAGCCCAGAGGCTGAGCCTTCTCCTGCCTATGGTGGCCCAAGGCACCCTCTGACAAGGTGCCCAGGAGACAGCAGGAAGCTGGTGGGTCTCAGTGGGCCCCCCGGGTTATGGGGGCAAGAGGTGTCCCTAAGGCATTCAGCACCAGAGCCTGGCCCACCGTCCTAAGCGTGGTTCATCCCACCAGGAAGATGTGACAGCTACACCCGCCTCAGGCAGGAGGAAAGTAAGAAATTAGTAAGTAACCTCTTAAGCAGTCATAGAGCTAACAAGAGGCAACACCAGGATTCAGAACCACTTTAAGGGCCATGTCACCCGCTTCCCGTGAGCCTTCGTGTCAGTAAGGATACCTTGCCGAGTTCCCACAGGGACTCCTGGGTCTCACTCTAAATCTGTGAATTGCGTAAACCTGTGGGCCTGAGGGTCACAGACCAAAATCAGTCCAAGGGACAGGTGGCAACAGCGTGGAGAGAGAACCCTGAGATCTGGTAAGACACGCAAAGCTAGAGGGATGTGGCCTCAGGCCCAGCTCACCCTGGGAACCCCGCCTCCATCCCATCATGGTGCTCCATTCCCCAACTCCATCCTGTTCTGGTCCTCCCCCTGCCATCCCCACCTCACTGTGCCCGTCACAAATCTCACCCAGGCCAGGGCAAGGAAAGGAGGCAGGCTCATGGGCTTAGGTGGCCCCCAGGGGGCACAGGGTCATCGAGGGGCCTTACTGTGGAAGGTGTGACTGGAATCCAAGCAGAAAAAACCAACCAGTGTGTCACAGACAGGCTCTGGTCAGGGCACACACATGTAAAATAAAGGGTGATGGGCAATCTAGGAGTGCACACTGGCGGAAGATGCTAAAACCAGTGCCTTCGTCCCTGATGGGCACACGGGCCTCAATAACAACAAGAAGTCTGGTTCACAGAATTTATAAATCATATATGCACGCACACACGCGTGCACACATGCAAGACACACATACACACACACAGCCAAGGAGGGGCTGCCAGGTCCTGCCAGGCTGAAGTCCCACACTGTCTGCTGATCTAGAACAGCGCTCACAGAGGTGGCCCTGCCCCCCACCCTCCCTGAGCACCTCCCAGGGTAGCGCCTACCCAGGCACTCAGCTCTATATGGCAGGGGGGTGTCTCCCGGCCCCAGCCCTGATCAGCCCCCCACCCCACACCCAGGGCCACGAGATGCAGGACCTGGGTCCACACCCTGTTTGTCTCTCCTAGGCCCTGAGCTTTCCTGGAGGTTCATGAGGTGCCAGAAATTCAGGTTAAGCCACGGGGTGACAGTCATCCTCCTGTATCTGCTGCAAAGCAGTTACCAGGAGGATCGGGTCATTTGGGGAGTTGTATTGTGAGCATCAGTGCTGCCAACTTCTAGGGGTATGAGGGTAAGTCAGGAACCTGAGAATCTTCATGCCTAGGAAGTTCAGAAGCCACCAGGCCTTTTCTTCTTCATCTTCTCGTGCATTTACCTCATGCCCACATGTGCTGGAGGGCAGAGCACAAGAGCCGAAATGGATACAGCTCCCATGGTCACTTAGTGATGATGGGGCACAGGCCAGGCACAGAGGCCCAAGAAAAGTCAAGGAGAGGTGAGACCCCACTTCACCCAGCTTCCCAAGGGGCTGGGCTGGGCTCCCTTGGCTGGCCACGACTCACAGAACAGGGGTGCTGGAGGTGGGCTTTCACCCTGTGCTGGTGTCCTCCCTCTATGCCCACTGGATCCACAGGACTCACTCCACAAGGGCTACAGGGGTCCAGCCCCAGAAGATCATGGCACTTCCCCCACATAGACCCAGCCTTAGAACTTGCCTCCCAGCCATGATGTGGGCCACCCTGGATGAGCCTGTGCCTTGGGGAGCCCCCACTGGGCCTCCCACACCCCCAAAGGGCCAGATGGAAGGGGAGGAGGATAAAGTCCTTGTAATGCACAAATAGTTTGAGAAAGGGAATTCTTTTGCATTTCAAAAATACAAAATTCCTTGGCTGTATACTTCAATTAAAAAAAAAAAACAACGATTATTTTTCCTCCCTGTACTCTTACTTATTAATAATGTAGAACTGACAGGAAATAAAATGTTTTTCATTGCTGGAAAAAAAAAAGAGAGAGAGAGAAAGGTGAACACCTAAGATTCCATGCAGGGGGTGCTAGAGAAGGGAAGGAGAGCAAATCCACAACAATGCACATTCCTGGACCCCTGCAGAGAGATGGCCAGCTGGGCAGAGCTGGGCAGGGCTGGGATGGATGGCCCCTTGGACATCTCCCAGCCTATGTACCCATCTCAGGTTGCCTGGTCACTGCAAATGCTGGACTTTGCAACCCCTGCCCAGGCCTTTGAAGGCTGGTGGGCTCTTTGCAAAGGCCGTGAGGGGCCCCAGCTGCATGTGCAGGGAGGAGATGATCAGGAGGGGCCACAGTGGGCCCAGCAAGGCCATGAGGGGCAATAAATGAGGCAGGAGGTGGTTCCTAGATACCAGAGTCCCCTGGCTGCAACTACACAGGGCGGTTCACGCCAGCAAGGTGGGGTCCAGTTGGGGTTGGGGTCAAGGCCAAGCAGAGACCCTGCCCCCATAGTCAGATCCAAGGAGCAGCAGCATGGTGCTATACTTACGGGTGGACTTCCCATGGGTTTTCTCACAGTTTGGGCAGTGGTATATGTCGATGTCTGGGGCCTCCTCCTCTTCCACTCCAACACAGCTGAAATGAAGGAGAAACAGACATCATTAACCAGCAGTCAGCTGACTCCTCAAGAGCTTCCCCTGCAAAGATCTGCAGCACCTCCCACTCACTTTTCAAGAGGAAGGGCAGGGTAGCATGAGGGCAGCTGGGGCAGAGTGTGTGTGGGGACAGTGGCCCACATGGATGGGATGGGAGACTCGAAGTGGAGAGGGAGGGTCAAGGAAGACCTCACCATATGTGACTGGGAAAGGCAGAGGGAACCAGCCATCCTTTGGGCCTGCCTCCATGAGGGCCATTACTGCCCTGTCCCCACAGAGCCCAGGGAGGTTGAGGCGGGGTGGGGGGGTGGGGGGGCATGTCTCAGAGCCAGGGCACCCCCACCATTTCACCATAGGCAGTTTGCAGCCATAGGCAGGGCCCCTCCGGACCCCGTGAAGGGGACGGCTTTAAGTCACCTTCCCCAGGGAGCTGTACCATGGTGCTGGAACAACTGGATATCAAAACGGTGAAGTTGAACCCCTACCTCACACCATATACAAAAAATTAACTGAAGATGGATTAACAATCTAAATATAAGAGCTAAAACTATAACACCCTTAGAAGAAAACACAGGAGTGAATCTTCATGACCTTGGATTTGGGCATGGATTCCTAGAAATGACACCAAAAGCACAAGAAACAAAAGGAAAAAGACATAAATTAGACATCATCAAACTTTAAAACTTTTCTGCATTAAAGGACACTATCAAGAAAGTGAAAAGGCACTATGCAGAATGGGAGAAAATATTTGCAAATCATATTACCTGATAAGGGTCTATCATGCACAATGCATAAAGAACTTTACAACTTAACAACAAAAAGACAAATCAATTTAAAAATGGTCAAAGGATCTGAATAGACATTTCTCCAAAGAAGAAATACAAATGGCTAACAAGCTCATGAAGAGAAGCTCAACATCCTTAAGTCATCTGGATGCCACTGAAATGCAAATCAAAACCATGAGATACCATTATACACTCACTAGGATGGCTATAATTTTAAAAAGAAAAAAACAAACAGGAAACAAGCAAGTGCTGGTGAAGATGTGGAGAAATCAGAACCCTCTCACATTAATGGTAGGAACATAAAATGGTACATTTTCTATGCAAAACAGTATGGTGGTTCCTCAAAAAGTTAAACAGGAAATTATAATATGACCCGGCAATTCCACTCCAAGGTATAGACCCACAAAGAACTAAGAACAGTTTCTCAAACAAATCCTTGTATACAAATGTTAACAGCAGCATTAGTCACAATAGCCAGAAGATGGAAGCAACCCAAATGCCTGTCAACTGATGAATGGCTAAACAAATTGCAGTGCCGCCATACAACGGAGTAGTATTCAGCCTCAAAAAGGAATGAAGTGCTGATGCACGCTACAAGGATGAGCCTCAAAAGCACTGTGCTGAGCGAAGGAAACCAGACATAGAAGGCCACATATTGTGATTCCATTTACATGATCATGCCCAGAATAGGTAAATGCAGAGAGACAGAGGCCGACTGGCAGCACCAGAGGGTGGGGGCAGAGGGGAATGGGGGGTGACTCTTTAGTGCACACAGAGTTTCCTTTTGGTATGAAAATGTCTGGAACTAGATAGAGGTGATGGTTGCACAACACTGTGAATGTATTAAATGCCACCAAATTGTTCGCTTTAAAATGGTTAATTTTATGTTATGTGAATTTTATCTCAAAAAAGAAAGAGAAAAGAACCTGGTGGCCCTGTGAGAGTGATACCACCCATCATCACTAAGGCTGGCTGAGCGCTGACTCTGTATCCGGCAGCATCAAGAACTCCACATTCATTTTTTTGCAACAACCTTGCGGTAATCGGGATAATTATCGTTAGCCCTATTGTACAATGAGGAAACTGAGGCACGAGAGGTCAGCTGTCTGCCCACACCCAAAGGTCTCCTCACCGTTCAGAGGGACAGTTCTCCCCCCACCCTCAGCCACTGGCCCAGGAGGAGCACTCAGCAGACAAGACCCTCTGCAGGCCAGCAACGCCCCAGGGTCCCTGGGCAGGACACTGCCTGCCACAGCTGCCACAGTCCGACAGCCCTGGGAACAGAGCCTGAAGCCCAGAAAGACCTTGGCAAGTGTTTTTTGAAAACATAAAGTTCGGTCTTCACTTCAGAACGTAAACGGTAATAAACTGAAAGAAGTCTAAAGAGTCGGATGTAAAAGACAAAGCCATCAAAATCAGAACATGAGGGCACATTTGCTCTCATGATGCAAAGTGACTTTCTAAACAAACAAACAAACAAAAAAGAAAATGGAAAGGAAACCGGAGAGGACACTGATGGATTGAAACAGTGCTCCAAATCATGAAAACAAACTTCAAAGTGCTATGAAAAGTATGTACAGCAAATATAGCAAAGTTTTTCTACTCTTCCTCCATGAACTATATACTGTGGGGATCTCCCAACAGAACAGGGCAGAGCCAGGAACAGAATAGGCACATGCTACAGCTGTGTGAGAAGGATACCCAACCTCACTAACCACCCATGAAAGGCAAGCTAAAATCACAATACATATCATTTTCAACTGACAAATTAACCAAAACCGAACACATTAAACTGGTAACATGCCACATTGGCAAAGGCACAGTGATGACAGTAAACACAGCCAGATCTCCCCAGCCCCCAGGCATGGGGCACTCCCTGGAGGCTGGGGCAGCAGAGGACAGCTTCTCTCCACCCAGGAGGAGGAAGAGCTGGCTCACCTGAACCCCCACCCCCTACCCAGGGCTAGCCCACCAGGCCTGACCCTCTGCTCTCTCCCTACCAGTCTTCCCCAAGCTCCTGCCTTCCAGAGTCAGGCTACAGAAGGGTCCTGTGCCTTGCGTCTCCTCTGCATGGCAGGACCTGAGCTGGCTGTCCTCAGTTTGCTCATCCATAAAGTGGGCTCATGATACCAGCGATCACACCAGGGTGAAGATGGCTGAAACCCAGCAACTGTAGAACTGGGCACACAGTGAGCCCCCATCGCCCATACCACCAGGAGCCATGGACTAAGACAAAGGCAGAGCCCTGCAACTGCTCAGGATTGGCCAGGTCCAGAGACTGGACCCAGAAGTTACACCCCACGTCCACACCTGGAGTCCTGTGAAAATTAATAAACAGACCCTCATTTAAAATGGAGTCAGGAGGCCATAAGGGACAGCTCTTACACCCTATCACTCAATGTCAATTATAGACCCAGAGGAAGAGACTACACCTTTGTATCTCCAACAGGAAGAATGTTACTACTTTACTACCCAGAAGGAGGAAGAATTTCTCCTTGCCTGGCAACAGCCCAGCCAACCAAAGGCTGTCACACTTAGCCAATGAAAGCCACTATATTTCGAACCCCCAGTTTCCTCCAATGGACTCTTGTTTTACAACAGCTCCTCCCAACTCTCCCTTCTCCTCTATAAAAGAATGTTACTCTCCTTTGTTCCCTGGACTTTCCTGTGGCTTGCCAGAGATTGCATGTCCCAAATTGCAATTCTTTGCTGTGCCTGAATAAACCCATTTTGCTGGTAAAATAGCAGGCTGTGTTATTATTTTAGGTCAACAGTGCATACTGCACGTCCACACGGGACAGTGGCTCCAGGCTATCTTCTCACTGGCAGCCCCTGGAGCTCACAAACACTGAGGACGGCCGACCTCCCCTGATGGGTCTGCCTCTGTCCCATGGCCCGGTGTGAACCCCTGCCTGCCCAGGTCCCAGGGGCCCCAGAGACAAACAAGGAGGCTGCAGCAGGTTCTGCTGCAAGGTCTCTATGTGCCGGTACTGACCCTGCAGGTGGGCAGGATGTCTGAGGTCAGATGACACAGACTTAGGGCCCTTTCTGGAGGTCAGGAGTCAGGTGCACCTTGGAAGGTCCAAGGGGCTTCTCTGATGGAGGCTCCAGGTCAATCAGAAGGAAGGAAAACAATGTGCCTTAAAATACAAACCCCCCACTTGGCGTTCCTCAGGTCTAGTTACTGGGACTGGCTCCCCCAAACACTACATGCTGGTCCCACACATCCCTGAAGCCTCATCATGCTCTGGAAAGCCCACGGCAGGGGCCCCTGTGACAGGTGTGGAAGCTGAGACCCGGGGGTCACGATCATGTGCACTGGGCATGTTGACACCCCAACTCCACCCCTGGGGGTCTTTAGAACACCACCACCTGGTGGGTCAGGTCTCACCTGGGCCAGGATGGGTCTGGCTGTTTGCTATGTTGTGCAGGAAGGCCCTGGGACTGAAAGAGAAAGTGAGAAGCAGGGAAGGTGGGTTCTGTTCTGCTGGGAACACCTCAGAGCTACACCTCACCTAGGAGAGGCAGACAGGCCACCCACCCCATGGAGACCACTGCTGGCTCACAACAAGAGCTGGGCACCCAAGGACTGCCATGATGGACGTGGGGGGCTCAGCACACCCAGCCTGCTAGTCCTCCTGTGTTTACAGCAAGGCACCCAAGAGCCTCGCCTGTCCACTGCCCCCTGCCCCCTGCCCCTTGTAGGACTGCAACAGACGAAAGCTCTATGAGGATACAGTGAGCTTCTTGGTGGAAGGTGGGCATTACTCCCCTGGGAAGCAGGCACTAGAGCCTGCCCTACACTCCAGGCCCAAGCAGGGGCTCGAAGTTACCTGCAAATGGTCCAAGGGAAAAAGGAGGCTGAGGGGCATCACCTGCAAGCTGGGCCCTGGACATGTCCGGGCCCAGCTGCATCCGTGTCCCCAAGATCATCACAACTGCACAAGGTAGCCCCAGCTGCAGCCTGGGAGGGTCAGCCAGGCCTTGGGCTGGGCTGGCCAGGTGAGCCCACAGTGGTGACTGGGGGAGGGCATGAGGGTAAGAGGGAGAGGGGCAGAGGCAGGGAGAGAGAGTGGGGGGGTAACTCAGGGCACAGGGGAAAAGACGAGCAGCTGGGAGAGGTGTTGTGGGGCCAAGGCAGGGGAGCCCTACACAAACCTCGAGGCTAAATGGGGACAGAATCACCCAGGACATC